TGTAAACAGTCGTCCATCTATGTATACTGATGATTACAGACTATTATTGTGGTTAGTGCAACATTACATGATTATCATTCACAGCGATTTCTATTTCTTTTGTTATTTTATTTTTTCTATAGAATGAAGGGAACGAAAGAGTTGAAATGGAATTGATCAGTTGTTCTGTTGTTTACGTATTTCTTCTTTTATGTTGAATATGGTGTTTTTGTTTTATAATGATAATAATTTGAGGTTCTTATATACCGCTTTATCACAACTTAGTTTATAGGTCGTCTCAAAGAGGTTCACAAATTATTATCCGTGGTTATAGGGCCTTTGCAACCAGCCAAGATCTTTCTCAACTCCTTTGGGGAGCATACAGACGGTGCTGCTATTTCGACGCTCACAGCTAGCATTCAACAATTCTATCCCTGCCCAACCGCATACTCATTTACAGCTGAGTAGACTGGAGCAAGCAGAGTAACCCTTAGGTCATGAGCCCGGTGTCCTACCACTACACTACCGTGCCTTCGTTTTATGGTTGGTGGTATTTGAGGAGGATATTCCGTTGTGTCAAGATGTATGGAAAGAATGAGTGATTGTATGTGTCTCTGGAGGAGTAGATGAGCCTTAAGTTAACTCTGTGTTGTGTTCTAGAGTCTATGGGAATGATTATGTGTTTATTGCCACTTGTCAAAGCTTGTCCGTGGGTAACATCAGATTCATAAAGAACAACTCTTGTCCATCCAGTCAAACGGTTTAAACAATGGGAAACTATAGTAACCTTGCTGTCATATTAAGGAATTCATCTTTTCTGGTGTTTTTGTTTGCTGTAGAGGAGCTTACTGTGCAGCTAGTGCAGCACGCCTGACCAATATTGTGACTCCAGAGTTATTTGATGGCACACCAGAGTGGATTGTACGGTAAGCAGATCTGTCACAGCTAGGATATCACATACGCTTTCAAAACTCCTAAACTAGTCAGGATTTGTTAACATGTATCTGGAAATCCCAGAAGAAAATTTCTTTGAGATGAATGTTATATGTGGACTAATATTAAAGGATTTTTTTGACAGTTGCCAGACTTATGAGGGTGGCTTTGGAGGTTGCCCCGGTATGGAGGCCCATGGAGGATACTCGTTCTGTGGACTTGCAGCACTTTCTCTCATGGGGCGAACAAGTCTTTGTGATCTTCGTGCATGTCTAGTATGTCATACTTAGATACTATAAGTACATTCATGCATAAATCATACTGTCGTTTCACTTAATATGAATTCAATTGCACATTTAGCTGGTTAATCTTTTTTAAATATAACTGTTTCAGGATAAAATCTGGCAGCCCGGTAAAAAATAATGCAATTCAGCCTTGAAAGTCTTTGGAAAATCTTTGCAAACCTTGGCTTAAAGTAAAATTAGACCACACAGTTCATTCATATCTTTTAAACAACTCAGACCCATCAGGTCAAACTGTTTGTAAGGAGATAAGAGATAAGACCATATGTGTACCTTTTTCTTTCTTTTTTTTCTTTTGCCGGTTGAATATGCACCTGGATTGATTTGTTTCATGGTCTAATTCTTTCAGAGATGGACAGCTAACAGACAGATGCGATTTGAGGGGGGATTCCAGGGTCGAACAAACAAACTTGTGGATGGCTGTTATTCCTTCTGGCAGGCTGGTACCTTCCCACTGTTCCATATGGTCTGTTCCATGCAAGGTACGGTCTTCATCGAGGTTTGTCTTGTCAGCTCCTCTATATCCCCCCAAAAAATGATTGACATACTTCTAGTTATGGAAATGTTTTTTAAGAATTTCTTATTGATATAGATCTGTACAAGGTTGCTACACATGAGCGGAGTAAAACAACAAATTATATGACAATGTAATAAAGACAATTATCACTTCTGTAGAATGACTCATTGATTCCCTTCATTATCAAAGTATACAGTGCTTAAACTGGCTGTCTTGTATTCAAATTCCATAAATACAGTTCATATTGTAAACAATAGCCCTTGCAGCAGTTGTAACATAATGATATGTGGCTCACATATTTGAGATTCAGCTTGTCTTTGTCTGAATGCTTCAGCTAAAGTTATGGAACATTTTTCACACAGATGACCACTGCTTGAGTACTGAGCGTTGGATGTTTGATCATGAAGCATTACAGGAGTATATCTTAGTATGCTGTCAACACCAAGGTGGCGGTCTTATTGACAAACCTGGCAAGTAAGTAATACCTGTAGAGGAAACTTTATAGACAAGCAAGATATGAAAGTACTTAAATATAAAGAAATGATTATTTCAAAGAAGAACAAATATGCATTAGTCTTGTTTCTTGATTTCATTACCACACATTGATGATAATTTGGGACAGATTTTGATACCAAAGTTTTTTGGGGGGCAAGAGGCTTTGTGTATTTTTATGTGGAGAAAGTAAGATGCTATATATGCAGCATTTTAATGTCTGAAGTATGTATGACCCAGTTCCTGTATATATATATGATTTATTACAGGTCCAGAGACTACTACCATACCTGCTACTGTCTCAGTGGATTAGCGGTGGCGCAGCATTTTGCCGGTGGAAAACTTGCTCATCTTCACATAGTGGGATCACAAGACAATGAATTGGTAAATTTTGTACAGATATTGAACATATTGGGATAACAAGACAATATTAGACCTGTCAGGTTTTCATCACCTCCTGGTTGTGATGACCAATACATACTATAAGCATGTCATTGTACATTATAACATAACAACCAAACCACTTACCCTCGAGTACTTTGTGTTTCTCAGAATTTTCAATCAATTCTACTGACAAATTTAATTCTCTTTCATTAAATTTGATTAAATCCAAAGCAGTTCAATATATTACAATTTATATTTCACTATAAATATGCAATTAACTTGTTGATAGAAGATATGTTTTATCACAATGGATATTGCGCAAACTTTCAACAACTTCTTTGACTTCTAGTACGATTTAATCACAGGCACCAAATGATCAAGTTCAGTAAAAAAAAACTTGCAATTTCTAGGCATGAAACATTGATCAATTGCCGTCAACAGCTAAATTAATTCAACGAACAACCACATGTTGGAGTTATAAAGCAATGTCATAACCGATCAGTTATTAATCAATGTTTGTGTCAAAATCGACTGTGTGCGTTTTTACATCATTTGATCACAGAATTTTGAAGGCTCTTATTACAAACCTACTCATCACATCTACCTGAGATGCCCTTTCACTCTAACAGATTTATTTGTCAGCATCCATTAGCTACAATAGAGTCTGTTGAAAGTTCTGTTTATCTGTTTAACTTTCCAATTACCATACCTAACTAAATACTGAATAATGCAAAAGATAAATGCCTCCCAGGGGCATTGCTATGGATGTACTGGACAATTTTAAGTGTGTCCTAGGGCGTGGTTTTAAAGTTCAGTATTGGTGCACAGTAGCTTTAATATCAATCATCAGTGTACATAGATGTGAATATCTATTTAAAAGAACAACTATTTAACAGAAGTTTAGCCAAAACATGTTTTGGTTTTAGCACTCGCTGTTAATGTGTATTAATATAAACGTTCATCTGTATAATTAAGCATCAAACTGCCTTCTTTGGAAAGTTATTGTCCTATGATTCTCACAGGAATGCAGACGATTAATTAATACGCCACAAACTTGTTCTTCATATCACTACACCAATGGGAATTATGTGAGAATTATGATCTGATATCTTTCTATTCTGTTTGGTAAGGTTATAAAGTGGCAATGCAGAGCAAATAGAAATATACCATTTTATATTGCAGAAACCGACACATCCTGTATTCAATATAGGAGTGGATGCAGTGGCCCATGCCAACATGTACTTTAACAGACTGTCCCCACCCAAGGGGCCAGATGTATGACGAAAATTCCATCAATCTGCGTCAACGTCACCAATGTCCTTCCCTGGTCCCTGGGTTCCGAGCCAGGTCATGTGTACGCCTGGACAGTGCGAGATAGCATACTGGATATGTATCTGTATTTAGAGCTGGTATAGAGGAGGAAAAACTTGTGTGTGAGCAAAGATAGACTACACTGACTGTATATGAGATAATGCACGGTAGTGCAATAGACCTCACCCCAGGGTAACTTACTAGTGGAGGGCTAGGGAATCATCCTTAACTTACCAATGTTAAAAAAGGCAGGGGAACCTTCAGATCACCTATCCTTGACCTTAAAGGTTGAAAGTTCTGGAGAATCTCCAAAGTTACTTGTCCTTGACATATCCGTGTTGAAACATCCACCTTACTGATCGGAATAGGATTTATCAGTTTGGTATGAATAATAAATGTTCAATTTGTTTTGAACACAAATAGTAAATTGAGAAGTTATTTTTCAAGCTTTCGAAAACATCTCTTTCCTTTGTCAAGCAAAGAGTGTCAAGGATTGAGGATTGGAACTCATTGCTTGACAAAGGAAACAGGAATTTTCAAAAACTCAGAGGAAGCTTGTGTTCAAAGCAAAGCATTTATCCACTTTACTGAATCTAAGGTTAAAAGTCCCTGTTATGACCTACAGTATGGGGTATCATACTCCTCTGTAAGAGTTAATCCATCTCTAGGTTGTATGGTACATGTTCTTTGTATGTTAACTCATCACTAGGTTATGTGTTGTATGTATTACTATGTTAATCTCTCTCTAGGTTGTATGGTACATGTTCTATGTATGCTAACTCATCACTAGGTTATGTGTTGTATGTATTACTATGTTAATCCATCTCTAGGTTGTATGGTACATGTTCTTTGTATGTTAATTCATCACTAGGTTATGTGTTGTATGTATTACTATGTTAATCTCTCTCTAGGTTGTATGGTACATGTTCAATGTATGTTAACTCATCACTAGGTTATGTGTTGTATGTATTACTATGTTAATCTCTCTCTAGGTTATGTATTGTTACTGACTTACTTGACTTGACTTAACTTGTATTGTATCTATTACTACCAGATATACTAACCAATATCTAGGTTGTCTATTCTATGTATAACTATAACCCATTTCTAGAATGTGTTGTATATGTATATTAAACTATAACCCATCTCTAGGTCGTGTGGTATATGTATAACAATAACCCATCTCTACATTGTGTTGTATATGTATTACTATAACACATCTCTAGGTCATGTGGTATATGTATAACAATAACCCATCTCTAGGTTGTGTGGTATATGTATAACAATAACCCATTTCTAGCTTGTGTGGTATATATGTATTACTATAACACATCTCTCGATCGTGTGGTATATGTATTACCCGGTTACAATGTGTAGCCATCAGTAAGTCATGTGTTTAAGGTATTACTATGATAATTCACTTTAAAGATATATTGATGATGGTCAATGTTTTATTTTGAAACTGTTTTTTTTTTTTTTTAAATACATTTATTCTACATAATGAATGTCACTGTGGAAAAATGTGTCTATATATAGGCAAAGATACCTAACGGTGATAATGAGTACCGAAGTGGTGTACGTATAACTACATTGTAGACAAACTGTCCATCATTGGTTTGGTGTGAATATATTACCTCTGTTACATGGGGTCTGATAAACTAATTGTTATGTTGTTTACATTCAGTCTATATGTATTTGTGTTACATCTACAGAAAATATACATACAGGTTTGTCAGCACTTTATCGCATTACACGTACTGTCTCCTCGAATCAAGCTTAAACTGCAGTGTCATTGTGGGAAATAACTGTTGGGGTCTTGTTGGCAGTACAATTATGAGTTTTCCCTTCATTCATTCAATGACCTAACACTGTTTATGTTTCCCTTGTGTTATAGACAGGTTAATAAAGCCACATTGGTTTATGTCTTTAAGGCACAACATATATTTACATAAAGCATTCATGTCTACAGATTTTAATACAATTTTGGATATATGATTTACATATGTATTGTTAGTAGACTAGGTATACACAAATGTGTTTAATATCTGTATGTTCACGAAATGTGTGAACTATTTACACTATTTTTGTCAAACTATTGTGATCAGAAGTATTGTTAATAAAGACTTTGCCCCTGTACTAGATTATGTTATAAATATATGTTAGATGTACATACAGTCGAGGTGAATGTTACAAAAGTATACATTAGTTGATAGTGTATCGGTATATAAATGTGATGTTGTGATATCCTGACTTTTGGTTACATGGGAACTGTGTAAATGTGGATACTTGGATTACTTAGGTTTATCAAGTGTGTATTGTATTTTTGTTCATGTCAAACAACCACATAGATGTAATATCTCGTTTAAACATACAAAAGTTGACATCATTACATCAAGTCATTCGATATTACACAAAATGGAGAAGAAGGGTTTCTTCTCGAATATTGAAGTCTGTGAGCACAATCACTGTATTTGTTCAGCAAAGAAGCATATGCCAGGTAATAAGCTCACAATTGTCAAATACAGTACAGTAGTGTAAGACTCTTTCATGCCCAAAGTTGTAGGATAGGAAAATCCTGAGGGTGGAATTTCCCTATCTTGGGCATGAAAGAGTATTTTTCTCAAATTCCTGAAATGGCGTTTGGACTGGCTACCTTTTTGAAAACATCAATTTCCCCCTGAGCATTTTAGACGAAAACGAATCTGTCAGCCAGATTAAGTATATTCCATATTTTCAAACAAAGTTTGTGCAGAAAACGTAAACTCGTCTTTCTAACCTGTAAGGTAAATATATTGTAAAAGATTTTAATATCATGACGATGCCTTTTCTGCATTGTGGAACCACAGTTTTCCAAATTTGTGACGTCATGTCATTGTCGAGCCATTGTGACGTCACGTCACGTGAAATGGGGTGTAGGATAGAGATTTCCTACACCCCTTTCTTACCCTGGACAGCTCTTTCTTACACACACGAAATGAGAGAAAAATGTCTACTAAATGCTATTTGTTGTCTGCAGTAATCCCAACGCCTACTTTTGTCAGAGTTCATGTGTTAGCCTCATGGGCTTATTTCAGGATAAATATGGTCCAATCACTGTATGTGGAATGCATCTTTCTTATATGTTCTATGTAGAAATGTAGGTACTGTAACATGCAGGCGATCACACCTCCAGTTACTGACCACACTCGACGTTGCTGAACCAGTGAACGAGTCCCCATATTATACAGCATTACTGGAAAAGCTAGCTTGTCAGTAAGGCAGTATTTTCCACTTTAATTCCTTAGCTGTAACACAATTTCCCCCGCTGAGAAGTTTTGTCCCGAGACTTGGCCAGGATAATCCCGTAGGTCCTCCTTGTGTATCAATGCACCTTTCCCTAACCATTGGGAACTGGCCTTACATGATCGCTCAGATTCCAACCGCTGCCACCAAATGTAACGTGCAGGCAGTCACCCGTCCAGCTACTGACCAAACTCAATGTTACTGAACTAGTGAGCGGGTCCCCAGGTTATACTGCATCACTGGAAAAGCTAGCTTGCTAGTAAGGCAGTATTTTCCACCGAATTCTTAAGCTGTTACAGTACATTTGATTGTCATATATCTTATTGTAAGTTATAAACTAAGTTGAAGTAAAATCGCTATAGGATGTGAGCTATATTGTAATAAGTTTGTCTTACCAGTATTTTTTTATGTGAGTGTAAAATCAATGTACAAGGTACTTGTCAGATGTCTAAATGAAAGTATCAGCAGTCACTGTGTGCAGTGGTGTGTGTGATATCTCTTATTGTGTATGAAATATTGATGAGGAAAGAATTGATTGGAACGATGCTTAACTCAAATAAATGTTGGCATGTCTGCTCATTTCTGATAGGGTGTTATTGGTAAATGCTGATGAAGAGGAATAAAGACGTGTATTTTGTCACATGTTACCTTGCAGTTTTCATTCATTCTTGTGTAAACTACTCACTGTAAATGTTTGATAGCAGTAAGATAGTGTTAAGTGTTTTATGCGGACCAAATATCTTCTTGAATTTAATGATACAGGTGAATTATTGTTGATCCAAACAACTAAGAGTTAATAAGAGTTGTTCCAAAAACATGCCTTACTGTATTCGAAGAATACTAAGGTAAGAAAATACTCTTTAAAGAAATACATGTTTCCATCCATACACATATCTGATTCCGGGTACTTTGCATGTAAATTGATTTGTGATGGTTTCTGTGGAAAAAATCCAAATTTTCAGTGTACTAGTATCTAGACCGGGAACATTGACCAAAACCACTACCTGGGCACATCTGTTACTACTGGGCCCAGCTGTTACAAGTATTTAGACCTCAAATATTGACTAAAACCTCCTCTAGGCCTTGGTGTTACTTGTATCTAGACAGAGAAAACTGACCAAAACAACTCGTAACTAATTTGCCTGGTTGTACTTCCTAGTATCAAGACAGGGAACACTGACCTAAACCCCCATCATTGCCTGGGTATTACTTGTATCTATACAAGGAACACTGACCAAAAACCCCTACCTGGATCCGGTTGTCACTAGAATCAAGACAGGGAACGCTGACCTAAACCTCCTTCGTTGCCTGGGTATTACTTGTATCTAGACAAGGAACACTGACCAAAACCTCTACCTGGACCGGTTGTTAATGGAATCAAAACAAGAATTTTAAAATTTGTAGTTACTATAAGCTAGACAGGGAACACGGACCAAAACTTCTAACCTGGTCAGGGTATGACTAGTGTCTAGATAGAGAACACTGACCTAAATCTCGATCATATCGTCCGGGTATCGCAATGTACTAGTTTTAGACGGGGAACATTGACCAAAAGCACTACTTTGCCTTGTAGTTACTAGTAGCTAGACAGGAAACACTGGCCGATACTTCTAACTTGGTCAGGTTGTTACTTGTATCTAGTAGACTAAGTACGCTAACTGAAACCGTGATCTAGCTCGAATTGTTATTTATCTTGACAGGAAACATTGACCAACACCTCTATTGTTACTTGTGAAAGCCAGTGAGGCTTTGAACAGTGATTACCTGGTTAACTGGAAATTCTTGTTTATTTCTAATATGATCCATTTATCTTAATTTTGCTCTATGATGGAAAAATCATTATTTTTACCATAAAACCCCAGACGATCTCCACACCCTGTATTGGTTATGTCGTGCATACTTTCAGGATTCCCTTAAAAGATTTTTAGTTTGAAGTCCTTACTTTTTTTATTAGATACCAAAACAAGGTTCAACTCAAACATATAAAGGTACCGGTACATATAGCACTTATTAGGGGTTACTACTTTCTTGTCCATTCTAGTCTGAAATGGGTGTAAAATGGGTGTCGTACACTTCATCAAAAATAAACAGTATTTTTGAAATTTGTTGTCTTTTTTCCTTAACTTTATGAGAACAAACTGCTAAATTTGGTTCCATTTCATGACACTGTATCAGGAGATAAGATTCATAACCAGTACATGTAATAGGTTAACAGAGACCAAGTTTGATTTTAAGTGAAAATTGCTCAAATCTAAAAGCATAAACAATATTCTGAATCTGAAAAACTTCCAACTTCATAGGAAGTTATGGGGCTATAACCCCTTATTCAATTGCTGAAACAGTGTCAGCATAATATCTTGGTGAACTTTCAATCAATAACTGCAAACTTCATAGAAAGGTTAATTATCATGAAAATGCAGACAAGTTTGATAACCACCGTTATCTTACCATAATTGATAGTTATGGCCCTTTATGGCATTGCCAAAACATTGTCTTGATTCTCAGACAAGTTTGATAAGTACCATTATCCGACAATTATTAATGGAGTAATGGCCCTTTATCCACCCTTATCTGACAGTAATTACCGAGTTCTGGCTTTTTAATAAATTGCCGAAAGAGTCTGTTTTATATCTGGAGTAATTTTCAACAGATTATCTTCAAAGGAAGGTTAATTACCATAAAAACACAAATTGGATAACCACCATTATCTGACCATAACTGATAAAGTAATTACCTACATTGAATTGTCAAAACATTCTCGATAATTGAACACTCAGACAAGTTCAATTAACACTATTATCGGACTGTAATCATGGCCCTTTATATCCATTCCTTCAGCTTTGTCAAGTACAGTATGTTTTATCCTGCCACCACATCAAAGGAATAGCTCTCAACTTCACCGAGTAATAAACATTTCCTTATTTTCATACATTTAACACATAAATGCATCAGAAGGATTGTAAATTATTGATAACAGTGCCTTGTGATAACATACCCATATACCAGGTTTAGTTCATACGTTAAATAGTACGCCAAACTGAAATAAGGGATCAAAGGTCAACAGAGGTTGCAAAAATTTCTCCCGACATTGTTGCAAGAAGGTATATTATTTTGTCCTTTTGTTTATCTTGTTCAGTCTAAAACAAAGACACTTAATGATTTTACATGTTTATTATTTCATTTGTACAACATTCACATCTACCTAAGTCAAGTGCATCGTCAGCCCAGACACATATAAACAAGACTGGGTAACGACAAGACTCGGCCAGCTACACAGAAGTAGAAAAAGCTGGGAAACGACACTTCCAAACATAGGACATTTTAGAAAGACAGAGTTCAGAATCTCCCCTTCTTTAAATCCCTCTAAATATTTGCATCATGTTTGGTAGGTAATTTGGAAACAAGATAAAAAAAATAAGCTAAAATATTACAATAACATGTACTCACGTATTTCATAGTCATCCAACTTAATGGCCTTTCAATTTGTTTTAAAGCAAAAAGGATTTCAATATTTAAATCTATGTCTGGCTATTTTCTTTAAAAAGTGCTTCAATCCAAAAGTACCTAAAGTCTGCTACAATCAATACCACAATTTGCTTGACTTAATAGATGGAAAAGGACAGTCAGAATACTGGTGCCCCAGTTCCAAAATACTTCATGAAAACCATTTTTGAGACTTAAAGTCTTATATTTCAGTTAGAAAACAAATCATCCAAAAATATTCATATAAAGTTTCTTGAAAGCAGGGCCAGACTTGTGGACTAGAAAGTCTTGGATTGACAAAGCACATTTTTCCTAAAATCATTACCTTCAGTTAAAACAGATTTGCAGATGAAAAATGTTTGTGCCAAATTCAACAAAGAATAACTATTTTCTATATACACTTACATATTTCACCTGTACATTTCTCATGAACAGGTACACATTGTTATAAATAAAGCTAAAAGACCCAATCTCATCTGTGTTTCTAACTTTACAGATCATACTCTGATTATCCTAAGAAGATTCACAACATGACTTGGATTACAATGAAAAGTTAAGCTAGTGGACCTGTACATATGATACACACTTTATAGAAAATCATTATTGTTGTAAGAGTCGAGATTCTCAATGACTCGGGTATCCTGTTGAAACCGAATCACTGAATCTAATACCAAGTATAAAGCATAGTAAATATATAGGAAAAACTACCATATACTTTTATTGTACAACATTCAAAACCATGGCTTTTTATCACCAATAACATTTGCACCAGTAGAGATGTTGAAATGTTTCAATTCTCTTACAACATATACATGTACAGCATCAATCATTACTAATAATACATGCGTACAAATCTTTTACAAGTAACAGAGGAACTGTAGGTGTAGGAAACCAAATGATGCCAGCCAACATGTAGTGTCCATGAAAAGTACAATCTAAGTGCCCAGGAAATATAGCAACCTGCTTTTCATTAGACAGACAGGTACATTTCAAAGCCACTGTTTGTACTCAACAGAAAGCTACTGTTATAGGCCAGTTTGTACCTGACAGGTATTGTACAAACAGAACCCTGTTATTATATCAGCTAATTAAATGAGGTATTTGATATTTACTGCCACTTTGAATTATGAATATAACTAGAAGGAAGTAGTTTTAAACTGAACTTCTTTCGAACTGATGGCTTTCAAATTTTTCACCATGGAAAGAAATTTCTGTTTCAGAGGAGCACTATGATCCAACTTGTCTTTTCCAGGAACATAATTATTAATAGACAATTAAAAGTGATAAGATTTTAACTCCTCAAGCTTTAAAATTGATTTAAAGATTTTAACTCCTCAAGCTTTATGAAGAATTAAGCTTGGTATTAACTGATCACACAGAGGAGTTCCATCCAGATCAGCTCCCAATATGTTATCAACCATGTTGAGATCTGGTAAGAATATGAGTTTATATATGGAATGCTCTACAAATATTAGAGTCGATCATCAAATACAGCAATGCGATTGTTCACCAAGTAAAAAGTTATAAAAGAGTTTTTCCTGATTTCTGTATGATTTAGACCCTAGTTCGGCTTCACTCCACACTACATACACATTTGGATTTCCCGCACACCAGCAACACATCCTTGCGCTAGCTGTCTGCCTACGACATGGCCTGCCATCCGATGGTCACGACAAAAGAAAACAAAATAGCCTAATAAGTGATCCTGCTATTCAGTTTTTAACTTTTTCCGACGGCCTTGTGATAGTTCACCTTCTGCAGAGCTTTCCGACTCTGATCCACCATCAAATGTCAGTGCACTATTTTTCGAACTAACTGTGCCCGATTGGGCAAATTGTCCTGTACTCCTAGCTTTGTCCAATCCCCGAACTGAAACACACAAATCATATCAATGTAAGTATACAATGAAATTCATAGTCTGGACAGTTGTTCAGGTTTAAAATGAAAAATGAAATAAACCAATTTGTTTTATAGCAAATAAAATGCAGAGATGAAAGTCAATGTTACTTAAATACAATACACTGCACATTTTCAGTGCGGGGTGCAAATTTCGTTAAAATATCGTCAACAGTTTCAACAATTTACAACCTGAAAAGTCTCGTTGACTTAAAAGTGTAGGTCAAGGTGACTTAATTTGGTTACAGGTATTGACCCTACTTACAGTGCATTGCATACACTTTGAAGACGATGCAGACACATTTCAAGTTTCATCAAGATATGTTAGTGGTTTAAAACTTACAGCATGGACTTTCATTAAAAACTTTGCATTCATTTGACCGGTGCCCTATTGCAACACACTGTCTGGTCATGATGAATAAACAAAATTAAATGGAATTTCTGTAGGATCTCCTATAGCTATATATATTAATCATATGGCAGAATCTACTGATATGTTCACTTGTCCTTCATTCTTATGAAAAGTATCATTAGTCTATCACAATCACAAAATACATAATTACAGTATTCAATGGGAGACCATCAGATATCTGTATATATTAACATTTAAGTTTCAGAAGGTGAGATTGCAGTATAATTACCACATCATTCAATTGAGAAATATGTATGCTTATCAACAGTTGCACAGCCTTCTCATGTTCACTTAAGCATTAACATTACAAGAATAAATTTAAGAAATACATCACATTTTTATAATAAGATTATATATAAAGCTTACTTTGTTGTTCTAGAATTGAGTTTTGTTTCTTTAAATCATCAATATCTTCTTGGTGGCCATGATTTTTCTTCCTCATAAATTGAATATAGTCTGCAGCCTTCTTCAGGATCTGGGCTCGAGATACCTACAAGGTCAAAAAATAGTGCATCATTCTATAAAACCAAACCTGAAATAGCATTTCTTACTGACAAAAATATTATTTAGATTTTACGATTCCAGTATTATGAGCAAGCTCTAGTTATACACAATAATGTACATGTTACCTGTCTTTCACCAGATACAGTTATACTTTTTATCAATTCTAAATAAGCACTTGCATTACATATGCATAATTTTCTCAAAATTTGTGTCTATATACATAATATGAAAGACAATCAGATTGCAGTAATTTTTCAAATATTCAAGTTTATACTTATAGTTTCATTCTGAAAATAACAAGAGGCCAATGGGCCTTAACTGTCTGTCATCTAAGTTGTACTATAGTTATTCTTTTACAAAAAACATTCAGATTCATTATATTACTAAATGAAAAATAAGAGTAGCAACCTTTTTTCTATACATAGCAGTAGAGCAGTCTGGACACTAAGTGGGCTGGCTACATGAACACTTATGGTGAGGCCCGAGGGGCAGGCTTTTTTTGTTTTTTGTTTTTTTTACAATACTCATATACATGTAGTGCTTCACATATGAAAGATATCCAAAACCATTGTTTCCTTGTACACTAGTACTATCTGACGACCTTAAAAATATCACTTTGTGACATATGTCAGGATTTGGGATGAGTTTTGCTAAAATTTACTTAAAATTTTCCAATTGGCTTTAAACTGAAAACTACATGTACATGTATGTCAGGATATCCTCAGAATACATTAATGCATATGGTAGAATAACCCTCTGTTTCTAATGTACATATGATCAATGGCCCCTGCTCTCCTGCTTTGTGAAGATGAAAGTTGCTACAATTACAAATGAGAGAAATAAAAAACCATCAGAACTAAAAGTACATTTACTTTCTCTCCTTGCAGGGCTGGCACTGAGTCTCGTAGGCTATGAAAACTCTCTTTTATGTGGTCACGTCTTTTCCTTTCTAAGGCATTATGGTGGGCACGCTTCTCAGACTATAATAAAAAAATATATATATAATAATAAAATAAATAACAATTAATAAATAATGCACACAACTTCAATGCAAAAGTTCAAATTACTAATGAAAAATATTAAATGCAACTTGAGCAAATGAAGATCTAGCAGCAAAAACAGGTGCCATTATTATTTTGTATATAATGTAATTTGCCCATTTACCACTCAAGGAAATTCCCAATTTACATGGACTATGGAGCCAGTTTAAAAATTAAAACAAAAGTTTTGTAAACAACATTTAAATGGTAAATTGCAATAAGTTACCACAAACGACAATGCACATTCACACTTCAACGAACATATATGTTTATCTACGTACATATTTATGTATGGTACCTGGGGGAAAAAAAGAACTGATAAATTGTGAATACCTCAAAACTTTATCTCCATATATACTTATGCATTAAAGGTCATATAAATATATACATATATATAACATATGTGGTTATTGTCAGTTTTATTATTATATTTTTTTTCCATGAATTTCAATTCAGCAGCTTTTTAGTTCAGTTTTTGTTATGAAGCAGTAATCAATGTTGTAGAACAAAGCACAGTATGGTAAGTAATCTCCAGGCTCCAGCCAAACTTCCGCATTAGATAATATGAACAAAGGGCCACAACTCTGTATACAGAGGGGAACAAGACCAAAATTCAATATGCACCACTCTGCCTTCCTAAGAGTTTCTCATCAGCACGCAAAACATGACAATTAGAGGTGACAAACAAATAGTCTGTGAGAAGGGAAACATCTACACTGTTATTCTAATGGCAGTAGATCAACATACTGAGGTCATCGTTGCTTTTCAAGAATACATATTTCTAATACATGATTGAATTGAAGTTTCGCAAAGTCCTGATTGCATTATCTTCTTAACCCTGACAAAAATGTTGTCATCTTAAGTCATATCGGACAATAATTGCTGACCAGCTGGTCACAAGCAGAATGATTTTTGTTCTCTCTATTTTGGCTGTTGCAATTGCATGGCTGTCATCACTTATTCTTTCGCTGTATCTTTCGCTGTAAAATACATCGTTGTAAGCTTTTTAGCTTTTGGAGATGTCTTGATTCTATTTCCTTTACTTATATATAGTGTCCAACCGGTTGCGCATAAATGATAAAAGTCCGTTATTTAGTATTACACATTGATGTTTTGTGGCAGTATATCAGTCTTGTTGCTCACACATTATACTTGACAAAAACAGTTCTCTCTATATATAAAACCTACGTCTATTTACACACGTACCGTTAAAAATTTGCACTTGTTGATTTGGTGTCGAATGACCTGTAAAGTTCAACTAATTTAGACACATGTGATGTACAAGGTACTAATTGTAAAAAGAGGCCCAGAATTTGGACCTGTTGGTTATGCTATGGTTGTTCAGTAATGTTTTGAAGCTGTTTAGGGTCATTGCTGTAGCAATCACTTCCGGTAGACTGTTCCAAATTGTTATTGTTCTATTGCTGAAGACATTTTTGTTTACTTCAAGGCGAAACGGTTTTTTGAACAGCTTTTATGGATGTCCCCTGGGTCCCATATTTGATGCCGGTTTAAACATGTGTTTGTGGTATACATGGTTGATGTTATTTAAGATCTTATAGATTTCGACTAGGTCGGCTCTTTCCCTTCTATACTAGAGTGTAGGCAGTCCCAGTTTTCGCAGCATTTCCTCATATGGTAGATTTGATAGATTTTTTATCCGTTTTGTAGCCCTTCTTTGAACATTTTCGATGGAGATTTTGTCTTTGATAAGGATTGGGGACCATATAGGTGTTCCGTACTCTAAATGTGGTCTGACGAGTGATTTATACAATAGAGTAAACATAACTGGTTTATAAAAGCATTAAAGTCATTTTGGTCTCTGTGGAGTATATATATAGATCGATAGATTTACATTGCTTGAGTTACTTCCCCTTATGCACACAAACCTCCTTTGATGTCAAGGATTTGGCAAATGCTTCATGAACAACTTAAAATTGCATAGCTCAAGAAAATGTGAAGATTTGCTGTTATTCATGTTCAATTATTACATTGGATTCGCTTATGCTTTGTTAGTTATATATTTCTCAGTGGTCGAGGGAATGGGGAGATAGTTAATCTTTATTTTATAAATAAATAAGTTCTTCCAACTTAGCGTCTTTGACTTCATCCCAAAATCTTGAGGTTGGAAATACACACATGCATAACACACTCTAAAATTCATAACAGGTCCATCATAACTTGTAGTATATTATATGGCTTTGCCAACTCAGGAGGATACTATAATGTAACCATATATTATATTATACATTGGTGAAAGCATTTGAAAAGAAAGCAGGTGATATAGAAAACACACTGAACATCGGGCATATTTATGGAAACATATTGGTAAATAAAATGTTCCCAGAATATGTCAACAACCAACAGGTGCCCTGCTGTAACAATAAATATAGTATGTGTCAGATTCCAACAGTATCTCCTATCTAGCTATAAGATCATTGCAAACTAGCTGAATTATACATTTTTAACGACCTAATAAAAAAAACATTAACAAATTACATTACTAATGACGTGTACAGTAATCAAAACTTGACCGATTTATACATGCTTCTGCACATGCGCTAAAAACGGGATAAGGAATGTGGTAAAATCCTACTATTTATATCATCTGATCTCATTTCAGGCTGTCTAATTAATATCTGGAAAAAAACAAATAAGGCAACAAAGCTTATACCTGTGACATAAACTCTGTGCCAGCAAGCCCGGAACCAAACGATGTCCCCAATTCATCGTCGTCCTCCTGTGAAAGCAATGAAGTGTAAAAATCACGAACTTATTAACCTTCAGCTGACGAATGTTGCAGAATTTATACCTACCCAAACTGAAATAATTATATTACATTAAATATTATGAAATATTCAGGATAATAATGTAATCATACATCACTCTCTATATCCACATCTCTTTCCTCATCGCTCATTTTGATTTCCAACACCCATCCACCGCTCACTGACAGCTAGGAAGATGGCGGAACCAAACAACGCCACGCGGTCTAAGCACGTGCTGTGATATGTTTATTTGTTGACCCTAAGTAAAATCTCATTTAGTAATTTTAAAAATCTGTTGTATTTTTCGTATTTGTCTTTTTTATGTTTGTGCTCAATTCACATAATTAAAATTCAAAATATGTCTACAAAAAGTATGAAAATTTCAGTTCCTGGTTTTACGACATCTAAACGACCACACTACACGAGTTATTTCCCTTTGAACACACCATTTCATCTAAAATTATGTATTTATCTTTAAAACAAGTTATGTTAGCTCAGTGATTATAAATAATTTCCTGATCAATCCAATGTTTATTGATGGTGCTGATATCACATCCACTGGGAGACTGTTCCATAATTTTACTTTTCGTAGAGAAAAGATGTTTTTCCTTATTTCAATATTTGAATGTTGTGTATGATGACATTCTTTGGAATGTCCCCCATGGCAAGCCAAGTTGTCATTTATTCATGGAGCAATGTTGATCCAGTACTTAACCAAATTATATAAGATATCTCATATATTATATAAGATATCTCATATAGATATCTCATATGTTATATAAGATATCTTATAGACATATAAGATATCTTATAAACATATAAGATATCTTATAGACATATAAGATATCTTATAAACGTATAAGATATCTTATTTTAAGTTTATGAGATATCTTATATCTTTTATAAGATATCTCATATGATATATAAGATATCTTATAAAAGATATAAGATATCTCATATTTTTTTCTTTATAAGATATATTATATATTAAATAAGATATCTTATATAATATATAAGATAGCTTATATCTTTTATAAGATATCTCAATTAATTTTCTTTATAAGATATCTTATGTATTATATAATATATCTCATAAAAGATATAAGATATCTTATATAATATATAAGATATCTTATAAAGAAATGTATGTAAGATATCTCATTTATTAAATAAGATATCTTATAAAGTATATAAGATATCTCATAAAGTATATAAAATATCTTATATAATTAAATAAGATATCTTATATAATATGGTTAAGTTCTGGATCAACATTGCTCCATGAATAAATGACAACTTGGCTTGCCACCATGTTTTTCGGATTAGTCCTGCCACAGTTTAAGAGACGGTCAAAGCACAGAAATAACACCAGCATAACACTGCGGCACATCGTTCCTTGAACGCCATATAAGCATAAATATTTAAAAAAAACACTCACACACGTCTTATATGTGACATGTTGAATGATGACATGATGAAAGAAAAAGAATTCCCCCATAATAATAATAATAATATTTATTCAGGTAAAAATAGGCATGTTATTACAAGATATCACAATTTAGAATAGAATATATAATTAAAATTACATTGCAGCTTGTAAATAAAAAAGAGCATTTTGTATTAAGACTGGGAATAGTAATAGATCTGACCTAGTAAAAGGTTTTTTAATTCAATCATTGACATATATCACAGAGTATAAAAATCTAAAAAAAAGTCTGACTAATTCACTGTAAAAAAAGTCTGATATTACTATAAAATGAGACAAAATGAGACAGACTATTTTAGTAAATGAATGTATTTATAAATAAATAGATCGCATAATAGGAGTGGTGGTGAATGCCATTTACCTAGGATTACCCATAAAAGCCACAAAGTAGGATCCTTTAAAAATGGAAGAAAATAATTTTAAAAAAATGAAGAAAATCAACCGGTAACGGTTCAGATAGCACAGAATAGGATATGTGTGTATCATATTGGATAATTAATCAGTAAAATTGTATTTCCTATATAGAAAACAATACATACTAATTATTTTATAGTGGCAGACAGCTTCTTATAGTAGCAAACTATAGAATATTTTTACATAGTTATTTTCAAAGATATCAAAATAAAACAACTATACTGACAGATCTTTGCATTACAGTTTCTAGGCATGAAAACTTGAAATTTTAAATCGTTGTGCAATGCCGCAAGTCAAGCTTTCCAAGGGTTCGGTCCCCCTATCAGCGAGGTCTGCTCGACCTGCGCCATTGCACAGGAATGAAAATGTAATACATGTGTGCTCAATAGTAGACAAAGAGATCATCCACTTCATTTTTTGCTTAAAGCATAAGGTGTTTTGTATAATTGGTTTTGAATTTATGTTTGTTTTTGATATTTTTGATATGATCCGGTAAAAAGTTCCAGTGGATGTTCTGTACCCTTGACGTTTTTAATAGCGAAATTTGAGTTTCCGGATCTAGTACCATATGTGTTGTTGTTTTTGGTGAAAAAATCATGCATATACTGCGGGCATTTCTCATTAAAGATGTTAAATGCATGATTTAAACGAAGTTGACGAACTCTTCCCTCTACATTGAGCATACTATTTTTTGTAGTTCAGTACATGTAATTCTTGTCCTGTTGTTTAAGTTACGAATGAAACGGACCATTTTATTTTCAATTTAGGTTATTTGTAACTTTTTTTTATATAATTTAGAAAGATCCTCATACCAGGATGAACAGGCATAATCGAAATGACATTGTATGAGAGCTGAACATAGAGTTTTTCGTGATTTTTGGGATAGACAGTTACTATTTCTGTAAAGGAATTTTAGTCTTTGATTGATTTTTTGTATGACATTGGAAACAATTTCTTCTCCAGATAAAAATGAAACGTAAGAGTTGAACTCACCTGTGTGCAACCGAGTGTATGCACTCTGTATACAATGCTACAAATTCGTCATATAAATAGCCATGTTTATATAAAACATGACTAATTATATATAATGTACATAAGTTCATCTTTACTTCAACAGTATGTACATATCCGCGGACCAAATATACCCCCCTTCTTCAAGTTTTAATGCATTTTTATCTTTTCTGAAAACGTTGCCGCGCCTTTCTCATATGGGCAATACTTATTCGGATCCATGTTAATATCGGTTAATTAGTGTTATATGATTAAGAACTTGTTCTAGACTCGATTATAACAGGAACAAGTACAGAAATCCCACCAGTCAGACGACAGCCATGCAGTCAATCAATTAATCAATCATATGATAGCAGTGTCGTACGTCAAACCACAAATGACATGATCGATCATTTCCGGTACAGATTACGTTGGTGTGGTTTTAAATTCAGTAGTCGGCTATAGCTATAATTCCATAACAATCCCCTCTTCATAAACTGAGATGTAAGAGCAAAGACTAAGATAATCTAATTCCGTGGTAAAAGTGACCGAGTGGAGGATGAAATTTGCCAAATTTTCGAGTTAATTCGCTCGTTCATAAAGTATCAAGACATAAGAATAAAACAATCACATACCACAAAATACAAAATTTATAGATAAAACCTGCTGTCCCGGAAGGGTAAACGTCTTCCAAGCTGTTGTTGTTTAACGTCGATAGGAAGCTTGAGCTTGTGGAGACGTCTAAATATCCTCTTCTGACTTGATACGTTGAGCTAGCAGAATAGCCTGCCAGCAACGGACTTAAAGGGATTAAAACTATTTACACTGTATCAAGCTTTTGCACTATATTTTATTGTAAATACTTGTTGATTATATTTATTTATGTATGATTTAAAATAGATATGTATATACCCTTATTTATACTATAAGGAGTAACTATAAAATGGTAATGGAAATATGTATATTACTCATTTCTTTTCATGTAATGTTAGAGATTCCCATGTGATTCATTACTGATAAAAGGAAGGGCAGAACTTCCTGGGGTGATTCCTCCACAGTGTGTTTAGGTTGGACTTTAACTCACTAGGTGTTTTTGATGACACAGTTTCCTCAAGTAGCTTGTTCCAGACCTTGATCACTCGGTTACCAAAGTTAAGACATTCTTACAAGTGTTTAGCCTGAAAGGTTTCTGATGGTTTTTTTTAGAGTGACCTCTAGTGATACTGAGTGGTGTAGGCCGAAACATCAGTCCGTAGTCTTACTGGTCGATCCCGTTCAATATTTTGTACAGCTCAATCACATCTGCCCTCAAGTTGAATTCCTGTATTCCAGAGATGATAGACCTAATGTTCTTAGGCGTTCATGGTAGGACATATTATGTATTTCTAGTACTCTTCGTTGGACATTTTCGATAGCTATTTTGTCCTTGTTTAGAGACGGTGACCACACTTGCGTAGCGTATTCCAGATGTGGACGCATTAGGCATATGGACTAATTGTACAAGGTTGTAAAAAGAGCTATGTCCATAAAAATGAAACTTCTAAACAGTATACCTAACATCTGGTTAGCTTTCGACACTGCTGCATTGACTTGGGTTCAGAATTTTAGGGTGGTTGTCAAAGTGAACTCAAAGGTCCTAAATTGCTGTGGCTACTTTCTCTATTTCAGTTGTTTGTCCATCTTGCGTCAAAATAGTGTTTTACTCCGAAAAGATAAGCAGTGATAACCAGAGAGGTATAATGTATTATACGTCTCTGTTATAACGGACTATTTACTATGACGTTAAAACATATTCTCAAATCATGTAACATGTATTCCTGTTTGCTTTTAGTACTTCTGTGTATGACTTTTGTGTAAATTTAATTAAATATTATATGTAGGCGTATCATATAGTTTAACCTTAGAAACATGGGTGAATTTGTTACTTTCATGTGTATCAAGAATTCCTGTTCCAATCCAAAATCTTCGAACTGTTTACCTTAGACGAAATGAGAATCGTGTTTGCTTCCTTTTGTTTAAACATGTACTTACTACATGAATACTATACTCCATTCTGCTTCAATGCTTTTAGTTAGTCATTATGCTTGTAAGTGCTATTTGTTTTGCTTCGCTTTTATTTTGTATAAATTGTATGTGCTGCTTATAATTCATCGTTTTATTTCTTGTAATTTCAATTCAAATCTGGTTTGTATGTTTTCTATGCAATCTGTGCTATTTATATATGTTTGTATTTATTTATACGTGCTGTTATTATGTAATTTGTCGAAGGCATTGTGTGATAAGTGTGGCTTTCCAAAATGTTTTAAGTTATCTAGGAATTTATAATTAAACATGATCATCAAGGATGTTTTGACTGTTTGGCAATTTTTTTTAACCTGAATGTATGTGCAAAAAGTTATTCTCTTGAAATTTTCATTTTGGAACCACCTAAGTTTTTTTCATGTTTATCAATGTGTGTTTTTAACAGTGTCATAGATTTGCATGCTTGTTATGATTTATATAATGCTACCTCCGTTTTTATTTGTTATATAGTCGGTTGTAAAAGCCTTCCATAGGCTTGTGTTGCCTTGTTTAACCATGTACCGACTTTTCAATAAAAATTACTTGAACTTGAAAAGAAACTATAACAAGCTCCCCTCCATATGTCCGAATCTATTACCCGACCGATTTTATAGGCTATACTAAACAGGGTCACAGCTGCGCTTGGAAGCTGGAGTAATGTTATCGAAGCTTTATCTAGACATTGATCAGAAGTCCAGACGCCTTTAGCAGTGCCTGGACACATCAGCAATTTGCTTCATCGTGTAAGTATGTGTTTTAGTCATCTGTTTAATTTTGAAATAATGAAATTATCAAATGTCATGTTCCTATAGATAGTTTATACATAAATAACATAAAGATAGAATGAATAACAGTCTTCTTACAGAATGTGTTACATGTATGTCAGTTTTATGACTATGAGCCGGTGTCGAAAACCAGGCATACTGGCTAATAATCATAATATTTATTCATGTAAAAGGCAAATAATACACGTATATCACATTTTGCTGATTGGACATAAATATATATATATTATCACAGATGTTATTTATAAGTTATTATGTCATAAAACTAGTAGTCAGTCATATGTTAAAACTGGATTGGATTAGATTAATTTAGGCCTTTACCTGGGATGACCCATACAGTCACATTGTTGCTTAATTCCAATGGGGTCCCTTAATTAGTCGGCTCAATAGTGATCATGAGAGTTGACTCCGTATTTATTTATCACTTCCTTTTTTTCACTTTTACTCCATCCAGTTAAAAAAGACACGACCGGGTATATTATCGAGACTTATATTGTGCAATATTTCTGTATTTTCTAAACTAGCCTAACAAATGAGATAATAATACTTATAGTTAGAACGATGGAATAATAATCATGTTGAATAGGCTTGACAATGATAACAATCTGATTCCTGGGTATTGAAAGTTATTCACAGTATTCACAGTATCTTCAAGCTTGTGAGCTTGTTTCAATGCCTAACATTTTTTTCATACACTGTATAATTAATTTGCTTATGAACACTTATGTCTATAAAAAAAAATTGATAAAATTAATCAGTAAAAAAAAAAGATTGTTAATGAAATAATATAGTTGAAAAAGGTTCAAACATTGGTTAACTTGCCATATGTTGCAGCAGATGACATTTTGTTTAAGATTGATTGCATAAATGTAAACAGTCATTGCATTACATTGAACCGTCAGTATTGACTTTTTAAAAACTTCACATGTTCTATAAATTATTTGACACTTAATTTGGTCCTTATGTGTGATAATTTATGCTTAAGATATACAGAACAAGCTGTGCAGCTGTCAATATTAGCAATTTTATATATAAATTGATCCATATTAAATATTGTTAAAAGTGGTCACCGTAATGAGTGCCCAGTGAGGTTTTGCTTGCCCATTAGATTAAAGGATTTTTTTCATGTTATTTCTTCTTATTCAAAAGCAAAGTTTCAGTTCTATTGCATGTGTAGAAAACTTTGCATTTTACAGATTAAATTACACCTGTTTTATTAGTAGAGGAATAGTGCTGAGTGAGTGCCTAGCATGGTTTTGGTGCGCCCTGGCAGCAATTTGTTAAAGAGTTTTATTTTAACTTTTTTTTGTTATGTTTAATTCAGCAATACCATTAACTAATCAAATGCATAATTTTAAGTATATTGTACGAGTGCAAAGTGTTGCAGTGCATCAATCTAATTATGGAGGCTTTTGTACTCAATGCAGTGCAAGGAAATTAACTTGAATAGAAATACCTGTAGAACTGTATCAAAGTTCTGCTAAATTTGTACATGTCAAACGTATAATACACACACAATTCCAAACTGTTGAATCTTATAGAAGATATCACTAGAATTCTTAGCAATTAGACACAGCACAGAGGTTCTGAAGTTCTACACAGAGGTTGTATTATCATTTCTATTTATAAGTGGTAATAAACTGTTTGAATATATGACTGTGTTATTCAACAATATAATAAAAATCAATATACTGTTATGTTGTACAAAGGTCGGGGGAAAGTAAAAGATAACCTCATAGTTATAGAGGCATCACCCTACTGCAAGCTGTGGTTAAATTATTTGAAATGGCTACATCAAATAGAATCAGCCCAGCCATACATTCAGATACTTTTCCAAACAGAAAGAAGCCATCATATCTAGAGAAATCTTTGTAGCCTATGTACATCTTTTAACTAACAAGAATGTTGTTAATTTTGATGGAGAAAATGGCTCAAATGTTTATATTGCATTTTTAGATAGCAATAAGGCATTTAACTCTGTGAGTCACGCAGATCTTCTTTTCAAAAAACATGAAATTAGACTGAGAGGCAATACAAGGGTTATTCTTAAAGAAAGGTACACACATGAAGAAAGTTATCTCTTATTTAATGGTTTAATATCACAAAATATTGAGATGGAGAGCGGAAATTTACAGGATGTTGTGAAAATGACTCAAAACGTACATAATTTCTATCATTGAATGAAATAGAAACATGGTGCAGTGATTATTGATGTAAAAGTAAACATCTCAACTCAGGCGATTGATAAATGTCACATTGGTACAAAGTCTCAAAGTCTTCATAAAATGGTTGATATATATGTGAAAACAACAGTAAAAAGTGGAGATTCACTTTCTCATCTACCAAAAATAAAATTGTTTTGTTTTCAGATAAACACACTTTACATGATAATTGATATACCAAATATGTACCTTTCCAAATGCACGAAATTTAATATGTGGAAATATTATCAAATAGCAGAAGAAAATTAACTGAAAGAATTACTAGAGCATTTAATAAGTTTAAGTCTGGTGCTCTTGAGACAATGGAGATGCTCTACATGGCCATTTTGACGGCAATTTTGTCATAATTGGCTGCCTGCAACACTCCACTGTCTACTTATATTTAATTAAGTCCATTGCTCAACCCAATGTGCTATGTAAAAGTTATTGCTTCGCTCGGGTGTAATAAATCCCTTGTTACTCAAAAACCATGCAATAACCTTTACTTACCAAAATTGAGATTGATTTAATAAATAGCGGAGCAAGTGAAAAACTCGCTAGGCACTCATTCTTCTGCTTGAACATAATCTGCATAATTTAATAAACAAATTACAATATTTTCCAATTGAACAGAAATTTTGTTAATGGTTAGGTAATGGCATTTACTGTATAAATCAGAAGAAATAAGTAAAAAAATAATTAACGAAGAGCTGGGCATCGGAAAACCAAGCTGAGCACACATTTTTCCACTGGGTACTCATTAGGGGAACCCTGACAGAAGTGGTTATTTATTACTGTATACACATCATGCACATCTAAAGGTTCATTACCAGGTGTCTCATTTCTTTCCAAGTGTATAGAATCAATATTACATTTGTACATGAGAGCTGACACTGTATTTACTATCGTAATTTCCTGTAAATGTTATATTTTGTTCAATTCAACTTCATCCAGTTCAAACAGACTTAACTAACAAATGAGGTAATGATACTACAATGTAATAAGAATGATGGAATATATAATTACCATTTTATAGCAGGCATGACAGTGATAACAAACTGATTTCTATGTTTCCAAAGTAATGAACACTTCTGTCTGTAAAAAACATTGATGAGTTTAAAAATACAGAAATAAATTGTTCCTATATATTCTGTTTTTGTAATAAAAAAAAAATATTGTAATAATACAGATAAAAACATTCAAACATTGGTTAACCTACAGTATGTTGCAGCAGATGACAGTTTATGTAAGATTGATTTCATATATGTAAACATTTTTTGCAAAATTCATTGGACAGTCAGTATTGACTTGTGAAAACTTTACCGGGCCATACAATGATTTGACACTTAATTCGGTCCTTATGTGTGATAATTTATGTTCAAGGTTTAAAAGACAAGCTGTGCAGCTTTCAATATTAGCTAATGAATCAATAACACTGTTGGAAGTGGTCACTGTTATGTGTGCCCAGCGAGGTTTCTGTCCACCCAGCGGGTTAAATGATTTTTAGCTCACCTGGTTCAAAGGTGATTAACTATAGTTAGTTAATTCATGGCATTTACTGTTTAAAGCAGAAGAAATAAATACAATGAATCATTTAATGAAGTGCTGGGCGTGGAAAACAAAGCTGAGCACTCATTAGGAGGTCCGTAAACTGTCTAAGAAGTGAGAGAAAGGACAGGTGTCGAGGCCAATTAGGGCCGAGACCTGTTATTTCTCTCACTTATTGGACAGTTTGAGGCTTATATCTAACATAAAATATAGTCCCCTCTTGGTGCCTCCAATGCTGATTCTCTATTGGTGTTCACTGACCCATTTAACTTATTGGACATGTTCACTTCAAAGACTCCAACATCAGGCATGAGCTAAATTGCATGAATATGACAATAGGGTTCACTTTTATGAGAAGTTCTTTTTACACAACCAATAACATTTTCTATGTGACGTTTTGATGACTAGTATGATATGTACACTGTCACCTTCATCAGACAAATGACCAATGAATCGAAGCGTATGCACACAAAGGTGTAAAATGTGTACAAGTTGTCCATAAAATCGATGTCGATTTCGGCTACGCTGGAAAAGTATGTACAATAGTTGTTATATATGTACCGAAATGACTTAATTCAGCTATGCTTTGTTAACACTTGGTCATAGATGTGCGAGAGTCTTTGAGCCCTCTCGTCTGATTTAGAACTGGCCCACTGCTGGGTATCCAGATGGCTTCCTTTATCTGCCGCTTGAACAGATTGCTCTCTCTGTCCAAAACTTTGGAGTTATCCCAGCCAATCACATGTTTCATATATAACAACTATTGTACATACGTTTCCAGCGTAGCCGAAATCAACATTGATTCACCTTTTACTGTCCAATAAGTTAAATGGGTCAGTGAACACCAATAGAGAATTTGTTTCCTGAATCAGCATTGGAGGCACTCAGAGGGGACTATGTTTTAAGTTAGATATATTTAAGCCTCAAACTGTCCAATAAGTGAGAGAAAGAACAGGTCTCGGCCCTTACAGGCTCGACACCTGTCATTTTTCTCACTTATTAGACAGTTTTCAGCTTATATCCATAACTCATAGATCATGACCTGCTTGTATCTATTTCTTGGGCATCCAGGTTATGGAAGGACGAAACAGCTATATGGTGCAGTGATATTTATTTTCTGAAATAGTATATCTATTACCGAAATTTACATAAAGATGAGGGTTTAGGTTTGAAGAAATTGGTTCCATGAATTAATTGGCATTCAAGGATGTTGCTCTCAAGGTCTTATTAGGTCACTTCCTGATTCTTTAATGTTATTAAATTTCAACTAATTTCTATGAAATTTCATACAAATGACAAGGGTGCAGCTTGAGCGAGTACATTTCTAAGTGTTAGGTCAAAAGTCGCTTTTTTGTAAACACTTATTAGTCATTATAACCTTTATTTTCGAACAGACATAGGACAATAGTACCTCAAGGTTTAAGGTGCTATGCATGTACCCATGTATAGTCAAGTACAATGGTCACTGTTACAATTTTTAAGATTTTTTTGTCATCATAGTAAAAAAAGTGTCATACATTCAAGATACTCCAACAGTGTTAGAGGTTTACACGGCGAGATACTTTTGACAGTCGGCAAAATCATATCCAATGCCAGCAGCCTGTGATGTTATTGGAGTAACATTCAAGAATGTTGTGCTCAAGGTCAAAGTCACTGTTTATACAAATAGCAACTGTTCTATGAATCTCCATACATGTGTTGTTATACCTTAAAATTACTCGTGCATGTGAAGATATTCATTTAATTTATGATGCCTTGAACTTATGACTTAGGCCAAACAAAACATATTTGGTGTTTCCGGTAACCCTAAAGTCAAGATCACTCTCCTACATAAACAATATAAAATTATTTGTTAAATAAAATTTGTTACCTACCTACGTACCCTAAATTTTTCCAACATGTTACAGGAAACACATGTTTTTTCGTCTGGCCTTTATGCTCAATACATGGACAATTATGACTGAATAGACTGTTTGTGAAATGATTACATTGTTTCTATGTTCTGTCATCTTCAGGAGTGATGACCTTGAAATGAAGACGTGGAAAGTGATCGGCTGCCTGTTGTTTGTATGGCTGGGGATTATGGTGTACATGTCCAACAGTCTATTCCAGTCCTCGGACAGTAACCCAAGTGACATTGAACGTCAACTGAAGCGTGCCCTCCGGGAACTAGATAAACTTAAAGCCCAAAATGATGAATTTAGGAGTTTAGTGACCGATATAAAGTGAGGATGCTGCATATTATCTACATTTATTTTAATGGTTTTCAATTAAAGCTTCTATATACAGTTTTTAGCTCACCTGGCCAGAAGGTGTGGCATTTTTCGTCTGTCGTCTGTCTGGCATCAGGCTTCCAGATTTTACTTTAAACGTCTTCTTAATAACCAATTGGCATATGGTGATGATATTTGGCCTGAAGCATACTGGGATGAAGGGCTACCAAGTTTGTTAAAAGGAATGACCTTTGTTTTTTATTCAAGGTCACAGGCTCACTTGTCTTAAAAAACCTTTAAACAACTTCTGAATAATCAAAAAGTCTAGGATGATAATTTTTTGCCCAGTAGCATGCTGGGATAAAGGGCTTCTAACTTTATTCAAATGTATGAATTTCACCCATATTCAAGGTCACAGGGGTCAAATATGTTAAAATCTTTAAACAATTTCTTCTGAATAACCCAAAGGACTAGGGTGATAATATTTGGCCAGTAGCATGCAGGCATGGAGGGCTACCAAATTTGTTAAAATGAATGACCTTCACCCATATTCAAGGTCCCTTGGGTCAAAGAAGTCAAAAACTTTAAACGAGTCCTTCTCCAAAATACAAAGGATGGTGATATGTGACCAGTAGCATGCTCAGATGAAGAGCTATCAAGTTTGATCATATGAATGACATTGACACACTTTTAAGGTCACATCTGGTCAATTGTGTATAAATCTTTAAAAATCATCTTCTCAAAAAAACAAAAGGTATAGGGTGGTGATATTTGGCAAGTTGCATTCTGGGATGAAGGGCTATAAAGTTTGTTCAACTTAATGTTCTTGTTTGACTCTCAATAGCACAGGGGTCAAATGTGTTTAAATATTTTAACAGTTTTTTTTGAATAACTGAGTCAAGACACTGATATTTTGTCTGTAGCTTTATTTTAGTCCACTTTAAAGGTTACAATTGTGAGCAAGGCAGGCCCATTGGGCCTCTTGTTTGTATTATGTAAGTGGTTGGTCACAAAGTTGCTGTATATGATGAGGCTTAAACTAGGTAAAAGTCTTGCTGATCAAGTGATTAACTATAGGACCATTTGGATAACTCATAGAATAGTGGTTTTGTGATTATTTTGAGAAATTGGTTGTACAAGACATCTTTATGAAATTACTTTCAGGAAATTCAATCATTAACTGAAATTTAAGAATTTATCCATGATATAAACATATAGAAGGAAATAATAATATAAATGTTCAATCTTTTGAGCTAGCTTTCCATGTTTCTGTTCTTACTTTGTTCCATTCTAAATTTTATTTGTGATGTGTTTTAATACATATATATATACATATCATTGCATCTTTATAACTTAGGATACAATTGCTAAATGCTATCAAAATCCTCCATTTTTATTTAGTTATCCATATATGAATTTTACTCTAAAGTTTAATTTCAACATAAATGCTTTTGACTTTTCCACAGAGATCAGATTAACACAGAAAATGCTGAGCCAATTAAGAAAAGAGTTGCGGAAGCTGTAAAACCTGTCGCTGTTGTCAAGTCAAAAGTTTGTGACGGTAAAACACAAAACTGCTTGTAATAACTTGTGTATGAAGAACGTCTCTGACTCAGCAAAGCACTGAGCTAGTCCTGTTATAACTTGTGTATGAAGAACGTCTCTGACTCAGCAAAGCACTGAGCTAGTCCTGTAATAACTTGTGTATGAAGACATCTCTGACTCAGCAAAGCACTGAGCTAGTCCTGAATAAATGTAATTAATATCAACAACCAGATCACCTTTTAGATTTGGACAAATAGACATTTGCTATTGTTAATGATGAAATAAGTGTGATTATTCTTGAAAGAATTTGAGAGGTTCCTGATTGAGGTAGACACTGTTGGTAGACACATATACAGCACACAATAACTTGAGACATAATGATTTGCCCTCTGTGATGTGTCTTAACAAATACGTGAAATTATACTGTAGATAAGATATAATAACTGTTATTTATCTTTCTTAATTTTCAGCAACTGGACCTTCCCTTCTTCATGAACAGAGGAGGCGTAAAATTGAGAATGATGTCGTAGAGTTTTGGTACTTCATGCGTTCTGAGCTGAAGAAAATGAAAAGCACTTCTAAAGGGGATATAGTACGAGTAGTAGACAGGGTCCTTTCAGATGGAGCTAATTATCAAAAGTGAGTTGTTTCTTTGCGTTACCTGGATAATATATTATTGATTTATTCTTGAAATGTATGCCAGCTTGCTGTGATATTTTCAACTGCTAAACACTTTGAGTTGTTGAGGTTTTATTTTGATGGACTAACATTCCAAGCATTATCTGCATTTATACAAACAATGAGATAAGCAAAAGAAATTTGAATTCAATTTTTTTCATTATTTTGGACTATTTCCAATTAACAGTAGCCTGTTGTTTGTTAGGACTATTTCCAATTAACAGTAGCCTGTTGTTTGTTAGAACTATTTCCAATTAACAGTAGCCTGTTGTTTTTTAGGACTATTTCCACTTAACAGTAGCCTGTTGTTTGTTAGAACTATTTCCAATTCACAGTAGCCTGTTGTTTGTTAGAACTATTTCCACTTAACAGTAGCCTGTTGTTTGTTGGAACTATTTCCAATTAACAGTAGCCTGTTGTTTGTTAGGACTATTTCCAATTAACCGTAGCTTGTTGTTTGTTAGAACTATTTCCACTTAACAGTAGCCTGTTGTTTGTTAGAACTATTTCCAATTAACAGTAGCCTGTTGTTTGTTAGGACTATTTCCACTTAATAGTAGCTTGTTGTGATGAGTTGGTCAATTGACATCCGTGTTGATATCACTATCGAAAGTTTTGTGTAAGTATTGATTACCTAAATAATATAATTTCATCGTAATGATTGTTTCTGTTTTTATTATTTGCAGAACACTACATAATGACTTTAATCTACTGCGGAATGTTGAAAATGCTGGTGAATTAATGAAGAAGGAATCGGAGGAACTGGGTCGGCTGGTCCAGAAAAGGTTTAAATACCTACAGGTGAGAGATCACAGAATCATTTTTTGGTCATATATTGTTTTTATGTTGTAAGGTTACATTTTTGTTGTATAAACCCCAGTGTTATGTTTATTAAAACTGAAATTGTGATTGTAGAACCCAAAGGACTGTGCATCAGCTAAGAAGCTGGTATGTAATCTGAGCAAAGGCTGTGGGTATGGGTGTCAGCTCCACCATGTCACATACTGTATGATGGTAGCTTACGCCACAAAGAGGACCTTGATATTAGAATCCAGGGGTTGGCGGTATGCAAGCAGAGGCTGGGAGTCTGTGTTCCTACCACTAAGTGACAACTGCAAGGACAAAAAGGGCAGTAGCTCCAGACCCTGGGCAGGTAAACATATATGTACCTGTTGTAATTGCAGTACATGTACCATAAGATAAAATGATAGAGCCTGAAAGCTCAATATAATCTAACTTTCCAACACTGGTCCCCTTTCACATATAGAAGCACGGACTCTTGAGATTACCAATCATTCTGTGGAGACCTACAGTACAACATATGACAGAAGTTTTCAAGCTATAAAGTTTTTCAGCTCTAGGTCTTTGTGAAATCTTGTTCTACATAAGAATGTAATATACTATTGTTTCCATGCTCTGCCTTTCTTTGTCCCCTGCTGTTATTACTGGATAGGAACAAAGCTTTGCATTCCGTTAGTCTGTCAGTCCATCTGTCAATCAGCCTGGGAACCACAAACGACCAACACAAACACATTTTATATATGAGTATTTCTGAGGATAGGAAGCGTTACATACTGAAGTCCTAGGCCTCACTGGAGTTATGACCTTTTGTTCATTATTGATACCACGTTTATCTGAAGGTAGGGGACTATGTCACTTTGATACCAAAGATGACATTTCAGATGTTTTGCACAGTAATTCTGGACAGGGAGACATTGTTACTGACAATCAAACCTTAGTTTGTATGTCTGTTTGATTGTTATGTATATAGTCTGTCTCATTATGAACTATATTTGACTTTCAGATCCTGATATAATCCGTGATGCCCAAGTAGTGGAGATGCCCATTGTTGACAGTCTTCACCCAAGACCAAATTATCTCCCTTTGGCCATCCCCATGGACCTATCAGACAGACTCATGCGACTACATGGTGATCCAGCAGTATGGTGGATTGGTCAGTTTGTGAAGTATCTGACTCGTCCTCAGCCTCAACTACAAACAGACATGGAGAATGCCAAGGCCAAGCTTGGATTCTCTAAGCCCATAGTGGGGTAAGGCAAGCTTAGATTATCTTGTCCAGTGGTAGAGTAAGTCAGATTATGTAGTCTGAATGTTCAACAAATCAATTAAATTTTGATTATGTTATCCCAAAGGCAGGTTTTAGCTAGGATTATTATAAAACCAGAACACCATAGTTGACACCTTAATGTGGGAGGAAACCGGAGTATCCAGAGAAACCAATGTGATCGGGCAGGTGACCCCATACCTTTTCACTTCCGATCCCAGCCGTCTTGGTGAAAGGCGAATACACTATCCACTGTGCCATATGACCATCCACTTGGCTGGAATTATCATAAACCCAGAGTACCATAGTTGAAACTTAGCTGGGTCTATGATAAGCCCGGGGTCTATGCATGACATGTATGTATTTTGCGGTAGTTAAATTAACCCTAGACTATTGAACACACAGGGTCCATGTGCGGCGTACAGACAAAGTGGGTACAGAGGCAGCCTTCCACAGTATAGATGAGTACATGCTTTATGTTGAGGAATACTACGACAGACTGGAGGCCAGGGAACCTGTCCATACCCGCAAAGTCTACTTGGCTTCAGACGACCCTTCAGTCCTACCAGACGCCAAGTCTAGGTGAGTAAAGAATATGCTTAAATTTTTTAGGCTTAAAGTTGCTGAAAGCCAGTAGTTATATCATATTTATATATTGTACATTTACATTTGTTTATCAAAGGTAGGGGTATGGCAGATACCCAGGGTTTTAGTGAAAATCAACACTGACATTTCTAGATAATGTACAAGTGAAAGAAGAACATATTAGAAGAGAGAAGAGAAATGTATACCAGTGTTACTTTGCCTATTTATAAAATAATAAAAAAATATACAACATTGGATATTGCGCCCTATCTAGCTAACATAAGCCACTCTAAAGCGCTTTATAGTACATAGATATACAATTTTATACAGTCAATACAATATTGAGGAATTCGCAGGAGCTGCCTTATCAGGTGCTAACTACTAGTCCTATGCCACCTGGCTAATATCTTCCTATGTGTGTATGCCTGTGTGTGCTGGAGATGTATTGTGTTCTGTTTGTAGTGGGACCGTGCTTCCAACGGTATCATTTATAATGCCACCTCACTTGAAAGCTACAGCACCCCAGACCATTTCATACTCCACCTGGGTTGTTGGAGTTGTGTGGGCAGGAGAAAAACACTTTCTCTAATATTTCATACGTACGGCGACTTCGGGGATTGAACCCCGGTCGCCTGCTTGGAAGGCCGGAGTGTTAACCACTCGACCAATCCGCCCATAATCATACTATTTATATTAACAGGTATCCCCACTATACGTTTATAAGTGACATAGAGATTACAAAGACAGCAGGACTCAACAAGCGCTACACTGACCAATCTCTGCATGGCATCATCATGGACATCCACTTCCTGTCTCTGTCCGACTATCTTGTCTGCACTTTCTCCTCTCAGGTAACAAAGCCAATAATTTGATGATGATGCAGTTTAACCTTGTCGTTCGAGACACTTAGATTACTAGGGAAATATCTAGATTTACAAATATCAAAGATAATGCAATACAACTTCCTTTGTAGGCAAGTATTGCATAAATTTTCTGTTTTTCTTCTTCTTCATAATATTCATTGAAAGAACATGACATACAGAAGTGCTCTTCAAATTTGTTGTTTTTAAGTTTTAAGCCTACTATCATCAGATGGTGGACTTTTCAATTTGCCTTTGGTCCAGAGTCTGTCCGTCCATCTGTGAACAATTCTTCTTATCGCTATTTCTTAGAAAGTATTGCACGGACAGATCGTAATCAGATTTCGTAAACAGGTTCCCCGTTGGTCCTAGCTGTGCAATATAACTGTTTTTTGTGGGTAGGAAGAACAATAGGAGACCTGGTAGCCATCTTGACTTGTTAAAGTTTTTTGTTTTCGCTTTTCAAAGAATGTACTGGAACTATTTCAAAGAATGTACTGGAACTATTTCAAAGAATGTACTGGAAAGATCTTTCTAAAATGTTGTATACTGATTCCCCTTGAGTCTATGTTGTGCAATATCACTTTCCTACATGGTCAAGGTCACAAATATCAACTTCCATATCTTCTCAGTAGTGAGAAAGTTTTTTATACAATATGTAGTTTATTAAGATAAAATAAATGAAAAAAGTATATTTTCAGTATATTTCCATATTGCTATTATTTGTCTGTAACAAATCTTGTGATTGGCTAATAAATGTACACTTAAGTCCCAAATTATTTATATTATGCATTTGTGTTAACTCTGTTGTTTTAATATGCAGGTGTGTCGCGTTGCTTATGAAATGATGCAGACAATGCACGCTGACGCCTCAGCTTACTTCAAATCCTTGGATGATATATATTATTTTGGTGGGCAAAATGGACACCATATGGAAGTTTTAGAAAAGCACATTTCAAAACAGCCAAAAGAAATCGATATGGAGCCAGGTGATTCTGTCGGCATAGCTGGTAATCACTGGGATGGATATTCTAAAGGAATGAACCGACGGACAGGAAAGGATGGATTGTTCCCATCCTATAAAACACAGAGTAAGGTGGTTATTGTGGACCTACCAACATATTCAGAGGTAGATGAGGATAGCCACATTGATCAGTGAGAAAATTCAGGTATAGGTATACTACAACATGGAGCATATACTAACATGACAAGGGTTGGTGCCTGTACCTGACTAGGGTGTACACGTCTTTGTGTGTGTTTACTTGACAAGGGTTGACCTGACTAGGGTGTCTTATCCTGTGTCAACCTGACTAGGGTGTCTTATCCTGTGTTTACCTGACCAGGTGTCTTATCCTGTGTTTACACGACTAGGGTGTCTTATCCTGTGTTTACACGACTAGGGTGCCTTATCCTGTATTTACACGACTAGGGTGTCTTATCCTGTGTTTACACGACTAGGGTGTCTTATCCTTGTTTACACGACTAGGGTGTCTTATCCTGTGTTTACCTGACTAGGGTGTCTTATCCTGTGTTTACACGACTAGGGTGCCTTATCCTGTATTTACACGACTAGGGTGTCTTATCCTTGTTTACACGACTAGGGTGTATGTTATCCTGTGTTTACCTGACTAGGGTGTCTTATCCTGTGTTTACACGACTAGGGTGTCTTATCCTTGTTTACACGACTAGGGTGCCTTATCCTGTGTTTACCTGACTAGTGTGTCTTATCCTGTGTTTACACGACTAGGATGTCTTATCCTTGTTTACACGACTAGGGTGCCTTATCCTGTGTTTACCTGACTAGGGTGCCTTATCCTGTGTTTACCTGACTAGGATGTCTTTACATGTGTTTACCTGACTAGGGTGTCTTAACCTGTGTTTACCTGACTAGGGTGTCTTTACATGTTTTTACCTGACCAGGGTGTCTCTACCTGTGTTTACCTGACTAGGTGTCTTTATGTTTTAAGGCAAGGATGTCATTACCTATGTTTGTAGGCCTGGGTGTATGATATCCTATTGCTGTATAAACACACTGAAACCCTACTGGTGTACATATACATGCTGAAATCCTACTGGTGTACATATACATGCTGATACCCTACTGGTGTACATAGACATGCTGATACCCTACTGGGGTACATAGACATGCTGACACCCTACTGGTGTACATAGACATGCTGAAACCCTACTGGTGAACATAGACATGCTAAAACCCTACTGGTGGACATAGACATGCTAAAACCCTACTGGTGTACATAGACACGCTGATACCCTACTGGTGTACATAGACATGCTGACTCCCTACTGGTGTACATAGACATGCTGAAACCCTACTGGTGAACATAGACATGCTAAAACCCTACTGGTGGACATAGACATGCTGAAACCCTACTGGTGTACATAGACATGCTGCTACCCTACTGGTGTACATAGACATGCTAAAGCCCTACTGGTGTACATAGACATGCTGATACCCTACTGGGGTACATAGACATGCTGACACCCTACTGGTGTACATAGACATGCTGAAACCCTACTGGTGTATATAGACATGCTAAAACCCTACTGGTGTACATAGACATTCTGATACCCTACTGGTGTACATAGACATGCTAAAGCCCTACTGGTGTACATAGACATGCTGATACCCTACTGGTGTACTTAGACATGCTAAAACCCTACTGGTGTACAGAGACATGCTGAAACCCTACTGGTGTATATAGCCATGCTAAAACCCTACTGGGGTACATAGACATGCTGATACCCTACTGGTGTACTTAGACATGCTAAAACCCTACTGGTGTACATAGACATGGTGATACCCTACTGGTGTACATAGACATGCTGAAACCCTACTGGTGTACACAGACATGCTGACACCCTTCTGGTGAATACATATGCTGATATGCCCATGGTATATATACATGCTGAAACCCCACTGGTATATATATAGACATGTTGATACCCTCATGGTATATGGACATATGCCTGCTTATACACTACTGGTATAGTAGACATGTTGATACACAACTGGTAAAAAGGCATGCTGGATACACTACTGGTTTATAGACATGCTTGATACTCTACTGGTATATAGGCATGCTGATACCCTACTGTATTGGTAAACTGTACTCAGTATATACTTTGTTGTAGAGACAAGCTGATATACTTGTGTACAGGTGTGCTGATACAAAACGGAAGTACCTGGAAGGGCATTCTGATGCCCCTGTTAACAGTACAGGTTTTCCTATTTTACACTGATGTAAGGTCTTGCCAATACCTTACCTGAGTGTTCTGGTGCTGGTATCATACTTAAGTATGGCACTACTGACACCCATTTTGCTGAGCAGGTCAGGTCTGGACAATTTAAAAAAAAATCTGTAACTGCTGGTTGGGTAAAATTGACCTGTGGCATCAAATTATATTAAGATATGACTTTCTATTGTAATTTAAAGTGGATGGTGTGTTTAGTGATATTATGTTTGATGTAAGAATGAGTTGATAAGGTATCTAATTAATGGTTTGTACACTTCCATTATACATTATACAGATGTCTGGCTGGGCTGTATGTATGGTATCTAGTAGACATTATACTGATGTCTGGCTGGGCTGTATGTATGGTAACTAGTAGATGGTTTATATATTTCCAATATACATGTACTGATGTATGGCTGGGCTGTATGTATGGTTACTAGTAGACATTGTTTGGTAACTAGTAGATGGTTTATATATTTCCAATATACATGTACTGATGTATGGCTGGGCTGTATGTATGGTATCTAGTAGACATTATACTAATGCATGGCTGGGCTGTATGTATTGTATACTTCCATTAAAATGATGTATGTCAGACGTTGGTGTGTGTAAGGTAACCAGTAAGTGGTATGTATACTTCCAATATACATGTACTGTTGTATGGCTGGGATGTATGTATTGTAACCAGTAAATGGTCTGTATACTTACATTATACTGATGTAAAGTTGATTTATCTATAGTATATGATACAGTTGTTTTAATGCTTACCCTTCCTAAACATTTAACCTTAGGTGCTGGTCGTTGACCATGTGTTACAGTGCGCAATGACAAAGGTTGAGTGCAGTATAACATTCTATGTTATGGGAAGACATTAAATAACTGTTTTGTTACAGTTAATAGTAATATCAAACATACTTTATTGACTCACTTGCAATTTGCTGTGATGCCAGTTCTTCAATTTAAATTTCCATAAAAATTTGCCTACATGACAACAGTTTTAAATTACTCAACCAATTTTGACTTTTTTTCTTCGTGGGTTTTTAAAACTATACTTCGCTAGGTCACATGACCATGTATTCACGCAGTACATCAATTTTCAATAATTGATTTCAGTACTATACATATAGGATCGTGTAATAAAGATCATTATGCTGCCATTAGACTATTATACTGATGTATTTACTGGACACTCAACAGTAGAGGTGAGATAAAATCCAAGATGGCGGACCATGTTGAAATTATGTGAACAGGGGGGTTGCTCGCAATTAAGCCCCCCCCCCCAAACACACACTTTTGGCCCATCTTTTTTTCTCAGGAAGGGGGGCTTATTGCCGTTAAATAGGGTATGTATGTAGACCATTACACTGATGTATATAGGTATATAGACCATTACACTGATGTATATAGGTATATAGACCATAACACTGATGTATATAGGTATATAGACCATTACACTGATGTATATATGTATATAGACCATTACACTGATGTATATAGGTATATAGACCATTACACTGGTTTAAAACTGTGTTGTATGTATGGTATTCCCAAGAAAACATTTTTTGCTTTAAGATTATTTGAGGATGTTGTTTATACTGTCAGCTGGACTGATTTTTTTATAGACTCTTTCCTTTCAGCAGAACTTCCATTTCTAATAGATACATGTAGTAGATGTTAACATTGATCTTCATTTGAGGATGGAAGTTACATATGTATTGTGTGTGTGTGTGTTGTGATAAATATTGTATGTATGTATTTTGTTGTAATATCTTTGACACAAGCTTTTGGGCATTCATTTTGCATTAGGAGTGGATTGTTATTGTCCACTTAGTAATAAATGTTTATTTCTTATCCCACCTAATTAAATCAGTTTGTATCTGGCCATTTTTTTAAAAATATTTTATCATGAGTAGTATAATTGAAAAGTATCTAGTTCAAGATAGCAAAAATCAAATCATCTTTAAATTACAAATTTTAAATTTTGAAAAAAAAAATCAAATAGTTTGTGATAAAGATAATTAAATGCAAATTTCTTCTTAAAGTTAATATTTTTTTATGATTAAATGTTAAGTAAAAATGAATTTAGAATGTTTAGAATTTTCATTGTAAATCTCAAACTATGCTTTATGAAGTTTCTCCAGCTGGTATTCACACAACATTTACTGCTGGGTTATTTGTGTTGTCTAATTTTGAGTGTTTTTTTCTCTTTGAGAAATATTTGACAGATCGTAGAAGAGATAAAGGATAAGTTGAGGAGGAGCTTGTTACATTCCTAGGCCTTGTAGTTATATACTGTGTGGTTAGTGTAGTTATATACTGTGTGGTTAGTGTAGTTATATATTGTGTGGTTAGAGAATTGGTTACCTCACCTGCTTGCTAACCTTGATCACACTCAATTAATTGGTATTTGTTGATATGTTTAGTAAGCTCTTAGATAATGAAAACTATTTTGGATTTTTGATAAAAAATAATCTTTTAGCTCGACACTAGTCAACAGTTTGAAATCCAGTTCTGTTTAGTGTGTATATATGATATTTTTTGATTGGCATATAAAGAAATGTATGTGTATGGAGTATGTGAAATAGAAATACTTGTAACCAAATCTTATGATTTTTTAGAAATTTAATAAATTATTTTTCTCACCAAAAAATTCTCACTATATCTTAAGAGGTCAATACATAGAACAATAATTCAGAAGCAGTTACCTAATCTAACCAGCAGCTATTTCATTAGTATTGTTTCTGTTTTATATAAAAAAATCTTTTATATATATCTTTACTGAGAACCAGAAATAAAATAAAAAAATTGTTCTTCATCTAATATTTTTTTCATCATCTGTGAAATAATTTTAATTATTTTAAATAATTTTGTCTACATTTTGATATTGGTCCAAGCATGTACTGCCGACTGCCATTATATTTGAGACATAAATGTAAATAATCATTTCTGATTGTGAATACGCTACATATGAACCTCATGCTTTCAATAGTATAAAGGAAACCCAGAGACCTGTCGTCACAGTTTTTCAATGTAATGACATATAATCAACCAACACTTCATCATGTTATCTCAGTTTTGTTAGGCATATTACATATATTATTATTGCAGACTTCGCCGAGCTTCCTTTCATATGAAATGGTAGAAATCCTGAATGAAAATCTCCTAAATGCTGTGGTACAAAAAATTACATGGTAAATAATGTTGAAACAACTATTATAACATTTTTCATTTTTAATGGTGATATGTTATTCTTGACACCAGAAACCTGAAGTACATTTCCAGAAATAAATATATGGGGTAGCAGGAAGGCCCTTTTATATGACCCCCACCGCCTAGAATGTTTTTTTCCTGTGCCCCAATTCTTAATATGAAGACTCACTCACCACCCATATGTTATAAGTTACTGGTGCGTCCATGCCTTCCCCATTTATTCATACCTGGAAAAGCCCATATCAGTACACAGCTTTGATTTTGAACAGTGCTATTTTTGCATTAGTGTGAACATATTTGATTTGATGAATTTTGTGTTTTATAATTGTTGTATGTAGTGTTACTTGAAATTTTCACTGTCATTTTGAATTGCCAAACTGGAAACAATAACACTACTGCAAATGTCTAACTTAATTATAAGAAACTGATATGATACATTTCATAAACTTGTTCACCATGTCATTTATTTTCAATATTTCATGTATATTCATACATTATAAATATATTTAATTTATTGACACTCAAAATTGAAAGTTGTTAAGTACCAATCCTATGAATCCACTAAAACATTATATGAATTGTAAAAACAGCTGGCTAGAGAACATATACCTGTATATAAATTATTTATACATCACTGTACGATGAAAAAATTATTGAGTGATTAAAATTCACAGTAATGTATAAAAGTGGAGGCAACTGATTAACATTTTATAAAGATTTTGTGTAATTAATGTGGATTTAATACTGTAGATTATCATCTTAAACAGAAGTACTGAAAGAAAATATGTTCAATGAATTAAATTTAAATGCAAATTTTAACAGAAAATTATCAGTTTTACAAATTTGTTGTAGGTCAAGTGATGCCCAATAGGGAATGACTGTATTGTTTTTTTATCTGTGGTATATATTGTGTTGTCAAAAGATTGGACACATTTCAGTCTGACCACCCTCTGTTATCATTCTTAATACACGTTCTGCATTGCCCCACCGACACTACAACTATGAGGATGTGCGTATCTGTGCTTGTAAAGAAGGTATAATTCTGACTGGTTGATGATTTATGGACTATACATTTAGAACAGGTGGGACCATCCTCGATATCCAGGGGTTAAGCTCACTTTCCTCTCTACACCCTTGGAATGTGTCTTAGCAAAATTGAAGGCTCCGTGTAAGTGTACGCCACCTTGTTGATGAGACAAGAAGACTAGTTTGATCCTTTGATGTACATCAAAAGAATATCAAGATTAGTTCGATCCTTTGATGTACATCAAAAGAATATTGCGGTCATATAACAGTAAAAATTGACAGGCTTTGAAGTCCAGCGTCTCTCCTTTGTAATCTTCAAAGGACAAGTATCAGTATTACAGGGGTGCAGAAAGCGAAAGTGAGCATAACCCCTGGATATCGAGGATGAGGTGGGACTAAATAAACATGAATCATAAACAAGAACATTCATTCCATGAACAAGTTTTAATTCTCTACAATTGTAAAAAACTAGAATCATTTGACTTGTTCTTTATTGCCTTCATACACATACACTCTTATTGTCCTCAAACATATACCCTTAATTGCTCTCACACAAGTAGACTGTTTCCTTCACACCTGTACCCTCTGTTGCCCTTACACATGTAGTCTAAAGCCCACACACAAGCACCCTGTATTGCCCTCACACAAATACCCTCTAGTACCCTTCTATACATTCTCTATTGCTCTCATACATGTGCTCTATTGCCCACACATAAGCACCCTGTATCACCCTCACACAAATACACTCTAGTACCCTTCTATACATTCTCTATTGCTCTCATACATGTGCTCTATTGCCCACACACAAGCACCCTGTATTACCCTCACACAAATACCCTCTAGTACCCTTCTATACATTCTCTATTGCTCTCATACATGTGCTCTATTACCCTCACACAAGCACCCTCTAATGCCCTGCTATATATTCTCTATAATTTGTACACAAGAACCCTCTATTGCCCTTCTATATGTTCTCTATTACTCTCGCACAAGAACCCTCTATTGCCCTTTTATGTACCCTATTGCCATCACACATGTACTCTGTTGTCCTAGAGGTATATGATTAGTGTGCTGTCCGGTTTGTATTTATTGTTGTATCGTAATGATATGGTATTTTACCATAGAAGTATAGAGATAGTATTATGTGTATAGATAGGATAGATAAATAGTCATATAATGACATATAGTAAGTCTTGTATATATATGAGCCTGGGCTTCAATTTGACATTTAAACATTTAACATTGCAGCATGGAGGCTGACAGAAAAACTACAAATTACTTGTTATTTTTATGCCTTTCCTATTATCTTATAGAAGTTTATCGTATTTGCCATAATTACCGCCACTCCCCTTATAACCGCCCTTACTCTTTTTTACAGCATACCTCAAATGAAATAAGTGCCCCTTTCTCAAACACCCTCCATTTTGGCCATCTCCTGTCAACAAAATACATTACCATATTCACTTTTATCAGAATATACAATCAATGTTTATGTTCTATTAATAAGTGCCCCCTTCAGGAAAATATGTTTATTGCACCCTGGGTCCTAATTAAGGCAAATACAGTATACAGGATTTTGAAGTTAAATATTGTTAGTTTTTGAACTAGAGTGAGACCACCTGTAAAGTCACAGGTTTTATATATAACTGGTGATCTACCTTGGGTAGAACTTCACTTTTCTGTAGGGACAATAAGTTAAGGAGACAAGTTAATTGTATAAAGTTTGTATATATATATATATATATGTTACCATGACAACATTAAATCATGGGAGGTGATTGCTCATTCCACCATGTTGATACAAGATATACAGAAGGCAAGACAAACGTAAAAACAGACTTTTCTGTTGGCATTTACATTACTAAATATTAAATCACTTGGGGTAAGAAATATATATTTCCCAATATGAGATCTGTCATTTGGCATAAAATGGTGCTATTAGATTGTGTAAGAAGTGACACACTCACTAAGTAGTCATTACTTCTCCACACAACTAGCGGGTACTGTATTTTCATTGTAACCGATTGTGGTGTCGTGAAAATCTTTTTATTTCCTGGTTTCAGCCTCATGTGTGGCCGTTACTAATTTTAATTAATTATCTTAAAGGATCCATTTGCATCAAGCTTTGTTTTTAGCCATAAAGTCCAGAGAAATACTGAGTATTTTTGTATGTATTATCAGAATGGGATTGTTTTGAATCCCAGAGTATATATGTTTTCAATTTAAAATAATTCAGTATCCTTGTTCCACTGCCAATAAGATCATGACTGTAGTTTTCATAAATCATTTCTGAAAAGAAAACCATACCTTGTAGGACTTCTATGGGGGAAAAAGTAAAGGTGAAAATAAAATATAATCAACAAGATTGTGCGGAATGTAAAAATTCAGCAGGGCTACACCATCATTCGAACCCAGGACCTCAGATTGTTAATACTTCACTGTAACCCAGGACCTCAGATTGTTAATACTTTACTGTAACCCAGTGAGCTAGTTGGTCAACAGAAGTGTTCTGGCCCAACTTTTCTACATTTATATCTAAACAAAATGAAAGGGAGTTTACTGTATATATACAAAACAAAAAACAAAAACAGAGTGCAGTGGGACCGGGAAATAAGAAAAATTAAATTTAGTTTTATACAATGTACGTCATTAAGGTAATGAACCCTTGGTACAAGTCCTGGTTTGTACAGCTTTTACAATGTTCATTCCATTATAGTCCTTACCTACCCTCGTTTACCACCATGGTCTGGTATTGTGTTACATTAAAGTATTGTGTTTTGTGTTACACTAAAGTATTGTGTTACATTAATGTATTGTGTTACATTTATTGTTTTATAGAAAAAATACTGCTAATGTTAACATACCTATTTTAGCATTGTTTACCATGATATGTATATACTGATATTTTTTTATTTAACTGCAATGTGTTATGTAATAACATGTAAATCCATTACCTCTGGATCACTACGTCTTATAACACTTCAGATTCAGTGGACAGTTTTAAGAAAAACAACACGTCACATACATCTAATCATACATGATTTAGTAAAGACACTGATAGTGCTTGATACATAAATTGTGTCATGGCAATTTCTGTAAGTTAATTAAGATGTCAATGAACTGACCTAAATTTTACATCATGTCATGATGGCATAACCTGAAGTATATTATTCAAAAAATCAAACTTACTGGTGTAAACATCAGAAGGCCCAAATTGGCACCAAATGTTCTTGGTTTGTATAAAGAGTCCTGGGTAACTTCAACAGAAGAGCTACAAAATGTGGGCTTTATACTTTGCACATTTTATTCAGGCTACAAATAAAAAGAAAATAATTAAAATCTCTGTGAAACATAAGCTCAGTTGTGCAGTCCTAGATATATGGTTTTATGATTTAAATGCTGTAATTTTTTTTCATTGAAGTACTAGTGACCTAAGTTTAACCTAAAGCTTGTACAGCAATTTCTTCTAACATGATATTTTACTAGGCTACCACTTGTAGTCCACATCTGGACTTAAAGACTGGTATATAGGCTGTGATCAGAAGCTGTTTCAGTTATTCAATCTATGTTATGATGGATGATGATTTTGATATAAGAATTGACTGTTGACTAATTTGTAATATTTCTTAATACTTTTCTATTTGAAATAAATTTCTGTAAGATTGAGGGTGTTTGGTGGTATACTTGAAATAAATTATTTAAATAAAACTACAAATGTGCAAATGACTGAAAATTGTTGAGTTATTCATTATTAGTTACACATTACCCAGAGGATAGTATATAATTAAAGGACATAGCAAGTTTATGGTTTCTGGGGACCAGGCCTTTTTCATAAGACATTTAATTGTTTATTTAAAAAAAAAAAATCATTGACACAATATCTGAAGACCTATGAAGAGTCATATTAAGTATGTTTCAATAATGTCTGTGTTGTTGATGACTAATGCGTGAGGGTCAGGCCAGAATGGGTTGGAGTCAGGTCAGTACAAGCTCGGCCAACCTCTTCCTGAGAGTCAGGTCAGTACAAGCTCTGCCTACCTCTTCCTGAGAGTCGGGTCAGTACAAGCTCTGCCCACCTCTTCCTGAGTCAGGTCAGTACAAGCTCTGCCCACCTCTTCCTGAGAGTCAGGTCAGTACAAGCTCTGCCCACCTCTTCCTGAGTCGCGTCAGTACAAGCTCTGCCCACCTCTTCCTGAGAGTCGGGTCAGTACAAGCTCTGCCCACCTCTTTCTGAGAGTCGGGTCAGTACAAGCTCTGCCCACCTCTTCCTCATTGGCTGAGTCAAAACAAGCTCTGCCCACCTCTTCCTCATTGGCTGGGTCATTCTGTACGGAAACTACTGGAATTGCTGAGTTGAGTCTGCATATCCAGAACCTGATATTGGAGTTCGGTCTGCAGGGGTGTTTTAGTTTTCAAACTAAAACACAGCCAACAAAGAACCAACTCCCTGGACAATGTAGTCAGTGTAAAAGTGGGTATAACTCTTATATAGAGTAGAGGTATATTAATTTTCACTTCCAACTGCTTGTATACTTAAATGAAAGTACTGCTTCATATTCCTGTGAAAAATAAAGTTTTCCCGCTTATAATGGGATGATATATGTTGTTTTAAGTTGTCCAATTCAAACTATGCATAGATATAGGACATGCCATAAATAATTTCTAGGGGACTGAAGATGCAAACCTGTTAAAATGGCCTTTCTTTTCACAAACTTCCTGTTATGTTTCAGCAAGCTTATGACACTAAGCCATTTCAGTTCTTTAGATGTTAAGTATTTTAGCAAACTTTACCCATGTGGCCTTGAATATGGGTCAAGGTCATTTCTTTTCTCAAACTTTGTACCACTCTTTGCCTGCAAGCCTTTGCTTATTTATCATGACCTTTATGCAATAGGTATATGATTCTTAAGAAGTCGTTTGAGAGTATTAGCAGATTTGATACTTGCAATCCTGAATGTTGTTCAAGGTCTTTTCTTTTCACTAACTCTGCTGTACTTAATGTCAGCAAACTACTGGCTACATATCTTGACTCGAGGGCTTATAATATTATATATCAATATCAATTTCTTTTCTCAAACTTTGTAGCACTCATTGCTGGCCAACCACTATCTAGAAATCAAAACCTTAAGCCTTTTGGTGTTTCGGAAGAAACTGTTTGGAGTGTTTTGAAAAAAATCAAGGTCGTTCCTTTTCCATAACTTCATAGCGCTCCGTGCAATCACACTCCTGACCATAACTATCATGAATTTGGGTCTTTATATTCTTCAGAAAAAGCTTGTCGAGTATTTTATAGATTGGACCCATGTGACCTTAAAAGTTAAATATAGATTAAGGTACTAGAATGTCCCTTGTTTTGTAGCACTCTTAGCCAGGAAGCTACTTGCCATATAACATGACCCAAGAACTCTCAATATTTCAGAAAATAAATCATTTGAGCTTTTTAACAATAAGGTTGCATTTATTAACCCCTAGAGGCTCTGTTGATTAACAGGTTTTTTTTGCCAGCTTTTATAGTATTTTTACTGAGATGCTGCATAAATAAAATATCAAAATCATCTGACTGCTGGTTTGATTGTTTTGATATGTACCTCATATTTTACCCTTTATTTGCCCTTATTGAGCCTCCAGAAGGGGCCAGCCCCCACAATGACTCATTTGACCCTTTCAGCCAGGTGAACTAACAAGGTGACTGGTGGTATTTCATGATATGACAAGAGGACATCATGTCTGCAACTAGGCGAAAGAGAAATATACTGTACGGAAACCATTTTCAGGACTTGCTACTTTTTTTGTTTTTGTTTTTGTAAGATGTTTGTGATGTAACGTAACAAATGAAATAAGAGTCTAAGGAATTATTTCAGAAAGGCCTTTCTCCTCTAAATATTTCTCAATATTTCAATATTTTCACACTAACATGTTAAGTTTCAGTTTTTTATTAGTTTCTTATGAAGAATTCAAATATTTTTTATATCCATGCTGGAACTTTGTTGTTTGATTTCAAGACCCAATAGTGTTCGAGTCGGTCCAGCCACTGGTGCCAGTAGGTGGTGACCTGGTCACAATCCATGACATGAACATGGGCAGGGTCTCCATGGGGGTAGGCTATCACCAGTGCACACTGCTTTATCTTTGTGTCCTGGAAAAAAATTACAGAGACCAACATCAAAAATTTACTACAAGTATATTACAAATAAACAGCACTGATGCTGCTGTTTTAAAAGGATGTGATTTTTTAAACATATTGCTGACAAGACTAATTAAACATTTCCACAGTTAGAGTGTAAGACAAAGCATGTAGAGTGCTGGGATGAAGGACTAGGAACTTTGTTTAAATGAATGACCTTGACCGACTTTTAAGGTCACAGCGGTCAAACATGTTAAAACATTTACAAGACTTCGTTTCCAAGAGGCCTAGGATAATGATAGTTGGCCAGTAACACGCTAGGATGAAAGGCTGTCATTCTTTTTTTTCTCCAAATGATTTGTTCAACCACGGACTTAGATCTAATTCTGTGGTTCAACCCAGAATTACCCCCTTCCCTTTAGTGGTTAACTCATTATGGCTTACCTCCCCTCCTACACTGAGTCTGCTGCTATTGATGGCACCAAGATAAGCAGCCACCTGGATGGGATTGTCAAATGTATTGGACAGCAATGGCTTGGCTTTCTTTGAAGTTTTCCAGTCTATGACACACAGCATGTCCCTACAACAGTAATGTTATACTTGGTGGTTTCAATCTTCACTTCATTCCAAGAAACAAATTAATATCGACACTATGAGAAAAATATCAAGTCAATACACCATCCATTATTGATAAGGGTGATTGGGTAGCACAGTGGATAGCTCACTCACTTTTCACCAAGATGACCTGGGTTTTATTCCCCGATCTGATGTGAAAACGTATGGGGTCTACTGCTCGAACATTTTCTCCAGGTACTCCTTTTTCCTCTCACATTAAGCATTGGCATGTTTTCATCAGGGCCAACAAGAGCAATTATTAAAAGCTGATATAACATAATTGTTCTAAAATAAATAAAGTTTATATTTATATATATTTGTAAGTCATGCATGCCTGCCCTCACAACTGGCCCTGAACTCTGGTTCCTCTATTGAATCAGCTTGATAAAAACATGGTGCTAAAGAATTTTAATGTGTCTTTGACAACTCAAGTAGGATGATAATATTCTATAATGTTTGTGTAAAATTCTTTCTAGAAACAAAAGCATAGGACAATCTTTTCAACTGTATTTTGACAAATAACTTTAAAGGCAAACTACAGAAGAAAATACATTTTGGTAAAGGTAAGTGAAGTGAGCCTAAACCATGCAACGAAATATACCTGTATTTGGCTACACAGTCAAACTTTCCATGGTACAGCAATGTCTGGTGGCTGACCTCCACCTCCACAGCCCTAACATCACTAATATCTGGGAACACATGGGCCAGGCTGCTCCAGTGACCTTTATTTTCTGTCCCTAAAGGGAGGTCATCCATGCTCTCTCCGTTTAGATATTTCTGAATACAGGAGTGAAGATTCTTCCCAAGGTCCAAAGTTTCTAAAAATTGTCAATTAAATACCATAAAATGACCTACATATACAGTATATATAAAATAACTGAAGGTCTGTGAATATTGTAGTCTTAACATCTGTGTGGTCTATAGGTTAATGATGTTCAAAGATAAATCTAATCTGTATGTATGGTTTATAGGACATTCAAAGACAAATATAACAATAGTATTTAACAGGGATGGGCACTGCTAGCAATTCTCATATCCCAAAATTTCAGAATATTTCATAGTATCGTAATATAAATGTTCCTAAAAATTTGGTGCCTTTAAAATCATTTTTTATGTGATAATTGAAAAGTGAGCATCAATTCAACAAGTTTCATCGGTAAACAGAAAATAATTTTATATAATATTGGAAGTCATATATTACACCAAGCAAGCTTATTTTGGATAAGTTTAATTTTAACATTTTTGCTTCAATTTTTTTAACTGTTTAAACTACTAACTGGTACAATATTACTAGAGAATGTAAGATGTTTGTTTTGCTTTTTTTCACTTACTTTTCTGGTGAATTTTGAACCCTTCTTCAGTCAGTTCCTCAATCATCTGTTTTTTCCAGCGATTTAAGAAATATCTGGCATTGTCGGGCATGGTTGCATTGATAATAGTAGTTACAGAAGGAATAGAACTCAGTGACAAACCGTCTACAAACTTTTTATACTTCATGTGGTCTCCATTCAGATCACTGTTAACTTTTATCTGATCCAGTGGACTGTAAAGGCAACACTTCCGTACGAAACCAAGACCAGCAACCTTGCTGCTTTTATCGGACTCTGAAGGTGTACTTTTATTTAGTTCAAATGGCTTCAAGTTTTCTTTGCTCTTAACAGTTTCATCAGGTTCATTTTGATTTCCTTGAAGACTAACCAAGGTTGACTCGCTGTTTATGTTAGCTGACACCTTAGATATAGCCTCAACGGTATGACTTTGTGTTTTTTCATCTTTAGTTCCTTTTGATTTCTTCCCTTTCCCTCCAGCAACTTTTGTCCCCGGATAAGTTTTATTTTCTAAAATAATGTTCAGTCTTTTTTTAACTCTATTAGGCATGAATGTTGATTTTTCTCTCAATAATGTTTTTGTAACATTATTCAAACACACACTGTGATGAATCCCAGATGGCGAACACTTCCACATAATCTGGATCATTGGATCATGCAACAAAACAGATGCTCTCACATGTCGTAGGTATGGGAACAGACCTGCAGCCATCATCCTTCATTCATTAGCCAAGCCAGGAGCTATGTGACAGTTTCAATTTGGGATTAAAGAGTCTTGTTGTTTGGCAAACCTACAAAATCAATTTTCACATTATTTAATAAAACACCCGACATATTTTCAAAAGACAGAAAAGTTTTAATATCAACTATGAAATCACCATTAATATTTCAGATAACAAACAGTACTTTAGCATTATTTGACAAAAAAAAACACCTGTAAGAGATGGGTGGTTTTCTTATCAACAGCCATCAATATTAATACTACTTCCAAAATAAAGTGACAATATACAAACATTTATCATTGTTAGCTCACTTGGTCAAATGCCAATGAACTCATCTAAGTTTTGGTGAGACTACTTCTCAAAAACTGTTGAATGCATAAAAAAATGACTTAATCTGGCAAGAAAATCCTTGAGTCCCCAAGGATTGAACTTAGTGTATTGATGGCAGTCTTGTTGGGAGAGGTGCTCAGCAGTGGGATTAAGAAAGCCACATAAAGAACCCTCAAGTGTGGCTCACAGAACAGAGTAATTAAACATGATATATAGCATCTCTTGGGTAAGGCTTATTAAAATATAATAATATTGTAGATGAGTTGGGTTCATCTACTCGTTGCAATGGGGCTAATACGGTAGATATGATATAACTTTAAATTAATTATTATAGAACATTTGAAATAGTGCCCTATACAACTAGAATAAAATGCAATCAATTCAATATGAGTCTGCCATATCTGGTGCTGATGACTGGTCCTAAGTCACCTTGTTAATACCTCCACATGTATGTGTGACTGTATGTGTGTCAGATGTGTATTGGTATGTGTTCTATTTTGCAGGTCTGACGTGTTTCTTATGGCATTTTTTTTCATAGAGTCACTTCACTTGAATGTTACAGTGCAAATCATAAAATGTGGCTCTTGTCAGAGAGTTGTTATTTTGCTAATCATTTTACATCAAAGACAGCTCATGTCTATAATACTCTGGTTGTTTGAGGCCTTATTTTCAACAAGGTCTGTTATAATTCAAACATCAAGATGACCACTCTGTTATCTGATTGGCTGAGACTTTTAATGCCTGTACAAAGTCATTTTTTGTATCAGTCTTATTTTTCGAAAAACTTTTACAATATTTATCAGGTGCAATAAGCATATAAATATGCTATTATTTTCATACTCTCTATCACATGTACACACACAATTAATGTTAATCCATATACAGTCTCACACACCATCTGACATGTATGGCAAGCCGTTTGGGTTTTTACCCATTTAATACAGATCCTGCATTTATTGACAGAATACATATATCTGTATTTAAAATAGAGATATCTGTACTTGAAACAAAGATATCTGCATTTATTCTGTAATTATAGATATCTATATTTGAAATATAGATATCTATATTTATTAACAGATTTATCTATTTATTTGCAAATGTAGATATCTGTTGTTAAATGCAGATATCTATATTTTAAATACAGACATCTATAATCATACAATAAATACAGATTTATACATGTCTTTATTAGTCCCCTACCGGTAAAACCGAGGGGACTATAGGTTTTCTCTCTGTCTGTGTACGTACGTGATATGTAACACCAATGTTTGTCAGCGCTCTAGCGGCTTCATTTCTTGAAGGATTTTGATCAAACTTCATGCAAATACAAAGGACCATAATATCTCGGAAACGTTTGAGTTTCAGGGTGTTTGGGTCAAGGTCAAGGTCACCGTTACTATTTTTAGAAAATCCTTGTCAGCGCTCTAACCGCTTCATTCCTTGAGGGATTTAGATCAAACTTTACACAATTACAAAGGACCATAATATCGTAGACAAGTTTGAGTTTCAGGGTTGTTGGGTCAAGGTCAAGGTCACCATTGCTATTTTTAGACAATCCTTGTCAGCGCTCTTGCACCTTTATTCTTTGAGGGATTTGGATCAAACTTCACACAATTACAAAGGACCATAATATCTCGGACAAGTTTGAGTTTCAGGGTTGTTGGGTCATGGTCACCGTTACTTATTTTAGAAAATCCTTGTCAGCGCTCTAGCGGCTACATTTCTTGAGGGATTTGGATCAAACTTCATAAGGACCATAATATCTCGGAAAAGATTGAGTTTCAGGGTTATTTGATTAAGGACAAGGTAACCATTACTATTTTTAGAAAATCCTTGTCAAGGCTCTAGCGGCTTCATTTCTTGAGGGATTTGTACCAGCTAGTGCATCCGTGTAGTGTATGTGTGTGTGTTTTGGGAGGCTGCAATATGTTCGTGTTGGTCTTCTTGTGATAGTGCGGAACTGATGCCGACTTTATAGTGCTACCTCACTGAAACATACTGCCGAAGACACCAGCAGGACACCCCACCTGTTTGTTCATTGGTTACTGTATACCTGCTTTCACGAGCACTAGTTATGGCAGCTGAGGTCCTCTTGATTTAGTAAACCTTTATGTGACCTTTAGGGATTTGGTTTGGTTTAGTATTGTTTAACGTCCTATCAACAGCTATAGTTATTTAAGGACGGCCTCCCCTGTGTGCAAGTGCATGCGTGTGTGTTTTGGGGGGCTGCGATATGTTTGTGTTTGTCTTGTGATAGCGCGGAACTGATGCCGACTTTATAGTGCTACCTCACTGAAACATACTGCCGAAGACACCTAGCAGGACACCCAACCTGGTCAATTACTTTCACATAATTTTCATAATAATCAAAAATACAGATATCTGAATTTAAATTTTTAAAAGTGATATCTTCATTTTAAATAGAGGTATCTGTGTAGCGGAAATGGACTGGGTGGATCGTCAGTGACCAGAGGGTTTGAGGGTCCCCAGTTCGAACCCGGTCTGGCCATGCATTTTTTCCTCTCCTGTTACAGTGGTGCCTGTGACCAACCCTTGTTTCAAGCAATTGGTGTTTGCTTTGCAAGGGGATACCCGAACCTGGTTTGTAAATAGTTGTGTTTACGCGGGTGAATACTTAGAAAAAGGAGGGAGGAATGTAGCGGAACTGGACTGTGGGTCGATTGTCGGCGACCAGGTAGCTCAATTGGTTGAGCGTCTGTGCAGAGTATGGCGGGTCCTGCGTTCGAACCCTGGTCTGTTCGTGCATTTTTCCACTCCTGTTACATCTGTATTAACAAGGCCTGGAAATTGTTCAGAGACTATTTTACAGATGCTTTAGACCTGATGTGGCTTTCATAAAAGAAATTCGCCTAAAACAACGTACTGAACCCTGGATGACCTCTGAAATTCTTGACCTCATATCTTCAAGAGGAGTCACAATCCTGATTTATATGAAGAATTTTGCCATCTCAGAAATAAACTTCAAAAACTTGTTAAAAAAGCAATTATTTTGAAAATAAAATCGAAGAAAATAAAGGCAATTCTAAAAACATGTGGAAACAATTTAAGGGCCTGGGATATGAAAGGAGTTAGAAATCAAACCCCAAAACAGTTCTCAATATTGATGGTGTAAACTGTCATGATGACTTTACAGTAGCCTACCATTTTAACAATTTTTTGTATTACTGTTGCTTCTAAATTGGTTGAAAAACTTCCATTGTGTAAAGGCTTGTACCATTATACATTAAAGTTGTTTAAGGATTTTTATACTAAAAGAAACCCGAAAGAGATTAAATTTCATCTTCATTATGTCTCGGAAGAGTTTGTGTATAGGGAGTTATGCAATTTGAGTATATATGTAAAAGTACAGGTTTAGATCATCATCATCATCATCATCATCATCATCATCATCAACAACAGCAATCATCATCAACATTAACTACATCATAAGGCCAGATAAAAAAGTGTTTTTTGTTTCCCGTTTCCCTACTCTTACCAACATTTATGTGCCTATATAAGCCTACTCAGTTTTTTTTAGATATGTAACAGAAAATCAATATGTTTGGCCTCATCATCATTATCATCATCATCTGACAAAGTCTTGTTGTTGTAAATTTTTGGGCGAAATTGAAATCTGATATGGCCGCTTCCGGGAACTTTCAATCGCTTGTCAACGAAACAGGTGAGTGTTAGCATCAACGATACACGGTATTTACATGTCCCATGGGCCTCTTGTTATTTTGAATGACTGACGGAAATGATTTACATAAGCATTATCCAATGACCTCCTATCATGTATCTAGAAACCAATCCTACAATTAGAAATGCTAGATGACCTTCTTACACTATTTAGAAACCAGTCAGACCTTTTCTATTTTCATCTTCATCAACACGTGAATGTTTTGTTTCCATCTCCGTTTTTGGTTTGTGTTTAGTATCACGGTAGCATGTAAAGTTAGGAATATACTGTTTTATGATAAAGTTTTAAAACACATATAAAAGTCGCAATTGAAATGAGAAAATGTTATATTTTTTTCAGTAAATTGTTTTTGTACAAGAAGATGAAGAAACAGGAACATTAATTCGATGTTATTATAAAATACGAAAATAACACCGGCAAATATGGCGACGTCCAAGAAGAAGAAGAAAGTTGTTTCCAAAGATGATTTGAGACGTTTGATGAAAGAGAAAAAGGCAACCGTTGCTACAACTAAACGCATAGAGCACCAATTTGCCAAGTAATAGTTTTTCATGATTTACATAGGGTGTCACATTTTTTCAAATCATAAAACCAGCGTATTCCTAGCTATATCGTCTAGTCATATGTTTCCGCGCGTTATGTATTTCCGCGCAGACATTTTATCAAGCTATATCTCGTAACTACGTGACCTGCTGGACACAACACAATGATATTTTAGACGTTTGGCCATTGTCTGTAAGCTGACACAAACATTACCGGAAGTTCGTCCAAAAAACATCAGAAATAATCACTGATTAAAAAAACACGCATTAAAATATGCAATATGGCTGCCACACCAAACTGTGTATCAAATTCAATAATGCATTATGTTAGCGTTAAACATTCCCTGTCACAAAATAATCCTCCTCCAATATTTCATATTTCTAAAACATAATTGAGGTACATGCACACTAAATTTCAGAAAAAAACATTCAATAACTGATGAAAAACTCACTTTTTATATGTTCATTTTCCATGCTAAATAAAAGTAACAATTCAGGAAAGAAACCATTTAAACTCGTAAATATCATAAGGTTGGATGTCCATGGAGATGCATTTGTCGAGAAAAATGTGAGAAAATGCTTCAAATCTCGAGAATGATTTCCATTAGTAGATATAAGTACACATGTTTATGACAGTATGATCCGTAATTTCAACAGTTTTCTGCCGATATGAGTACAAAATCGCAGTTGCTTCTTAAGTGCGCGGAAACCGGTAACACAAGGAAACCACTGTCATATCGCCCCCCCCCCTCCGATTCCAGCAATTTAGTTCTGTTATCTTCGCTTCATTACCTGGAGCTAAGTGATCAAAACCTGTGTGGATGGTTTGGCCCTTTTCAACCATATACCTTAACAGCTGTTTACAATATTCAAAAATGAAAATGAATAAATCTATAAAATGTTGCAACAGGAAAGGAAGTTGGACACAAAGACACACATGGGTAATAATCTTGTAGTAGGTCGATGAATAGCTACAGTATAGTGATAAAGATATTGCCGTCGCTGGGGCTCGAACCCGCTACTTTTGGCTCTTCAGCTCAATGCTCTACTGCTGATCCCTACAGCTGACGCTTGTATACATACAGGTCAGGGAAAACCACTAACTTGCATATAATACCCAAACTCGCCTATTATATGCATTATAGGGGTATGGATTTGTTACTAAAAATAGCCAAAATCACTTTAATCTTGGCTATTTCATTTTTTATGTCCAAGTCAAATTTATTCAGTCATGAAACATAATACAAATGCAAAAATAAACTTTATTTGCATGTGGGAAAGTACCAAAAATAGATGCAATACTTACGGTAAAGTTACATCAAGTTTCTAAGTAGCCAACGCTTTCAGTAAATATGTTTTAGCAAAATATTATTTACCTTGTCGTAAATTAATGCGATTTTTAATAATATCCTGCAAAAGTTACTGTTAAAGCGATTTGGGTTATTTTTAGTAACAAATCCATACTCCAACTGGCGTATAATGCATTGCAAAGGCAAATGTTGTTATGAGACTATATTACTATAACAATTTAACGTTTGCTATTGTAACGTCATCAATTTCATTGTTGTCAAAACTTGATTTGCGGTTAAAAAACTGTTCAAAATAACTGAATAAAGCATAATTACCGGTACTCTTATCAAAATGTAAATATAAATAAATAATATTTTAGCAAATGTTGTTCTGGTCCACTCCTATACACTAGCACACATTTCTATTGCTGACAAACTTACCGTACATAAAGCCCTGTACTGTTGTGGTGTGGATATTGATATAACTGATCAGTAAAATATACTTGACGTAACCAAAGATTTTGTGTTATAGGTATAACAGTGTCGACCAGCTTGTGTGTGTAATTTGTAATACAGTAATTAAAAGTGGACAATTGTGGCCATCACATCTACAGAGCAGACAGCATAAAGAGGTAATACTGTGTAATCATCTTTTGGAATCATAATTCAAAGCATAATCAGGGGTGATGTTTGAATCAAAATATTTCATTTGTATCAGGTTTAAATAAGAAATTTCACCATATAGTATGAATACAAGAAAAAGTATAATTTACATTGTAATTTGAGAAAATTGAGATAAATCATTGACAAGAATAGGAAAATAGGGGATTTTTTCAAATATTGATTATTTCTAATATGAAATTTGTTAATGTTTAGTTCATCTCTTTAAAAATATCCAATATTCTTCTGAAAAGTTGACATACAATTTAGATTCAGGTTTCCTAACCAAGTAATTTTTATTGAAAAATTGTAAATATTTCTGGTTTTTTTGGATAAATTCTATACCTCAGTTTTTATACTGAATTATTTAGAATGTACATGTATAAGCCAGATGAAGATGACCTTCTTTTCAGAAGTCACTTTTCTTACATTGAGTGAAAAAATGGTCTATTTTCAGAATTTTGGAAATATATATGTCCATAAAAAGTGATTGCTTTACCCAATTGAAGACATTTAAATCTTTTAATATGATTTTCCATAGAAATTAACTCAAGTGAAGCCAGCTGTGGACACTTTTACCACTGGTGTGAAGAGGGGTCTCCCACAGCAGTCAAACAGTCATGAAGATTCTAAAAGACTTAGAGGTACATTTACTCACATATCTTATTTACTAAGTTAAAGTGATATTGTATTTGTTCTTAAAACATTCTTGTGATGCCATCCATTGTTATAATTGTCCATTATATAGAATATGAGTACTGTTATATGCATAACTGTCCAATATGTTACAAAAACTGTCCAATAAGATCATAAAACTGTCCAATATTTTAATATTGTACAGTTTGTTAAAAATAACGGACATGTTTTTGGACCAGTTTAAGTAGAACATAGAAACTGGAGCATGACAATATATCCATCAAAATTTAATTGCATTATTGAAACAATACAAAATTGACACAAGGGTGATCAATCCACTGGATATATACAGGTAAATCCACTGTTACAGATACAATGTACTCCCTTTTAGAATCTTAGGGTAAATGACACCTCACCCGCGCTAACAGATAACTCCCTATTATTAGTATTAGTATTACTGGAGTCAGCAAGTTTTAATTTTTTCACTGGTGATGCCATATTTTCAATTCCTTGCACAACACTGCTAACATTTGCCAGCTGCGCATCACATGTACGCTTATATGAACGAATGGCCGCTGACCGATGTCCAGTTTTTTCTGCCACTAATTGTTCGTCGAATCCTGCCTTATAGAGGCGTGTCGCAGCAGTCGCTCGTAGGGAATGGTTAGTGAAATATCCTTTAAATCCAGCCTCCTCACACAACTTCCCCACTGTCTGCTGCAAGATATGTACACCCAGTGGAGAATCACAGTACCAACAGTCCGGGCTGGGGGTCTTCTTTGGCCTTAGGTACAATGCACTGCATTTTCCGGTTTTTGGTCTGGAAGATTTTTAAATTGTAAACCTTAACAGTTAGAATGAAAAGGAAAATTGAAATTTTGTTTTAAAAAGGTAAAGTTCTATTTTCCAACATAATTAGGTCAAAAAAAAAATTTTTTCGAAATTCTGGACACATATATATATATTTTTTTTTTCAAATTTTAATTTTAATAAATGTGCTGTTATATTTAGCCACTGGATTTTATGATAAGCGTTGCGCAATAACAATACATCTTAATACGGTATGATTATATTATATAACTTCTGTATTTACCTTAGGCTCATGAATTTCTGGTATATCTTCACAGGACATTGGTCTGGAAGTACTGTGTTTTCATAGGCCCTTGTAACTTTTGGTGTCACCTTACGATGGAGAAGTCCTCCGGCATTAGTTTTTGATACATCTTCTCTGTATTCCAAATATGTTTTGCCATCAGAATCCTGTTTCACTGTAATTTGACTATAAGGTCCACATCTAAGATTCCTATGTTCTTGGCCTGCTCTCAATGCAAAATTCAAACCCAGTTGATACACTAATGTGTTTAAAAGTTTTTCTGGTGTGTCTGTCCCCAAGACACCTTTCTCCACATTAACTGCTCTTGTTCTTCCGTTATAATTTCTGCCTGCTTTTTGTTTATTCCCAAACCTTGTTTTGCGAGGTTTTTCATCCAGGCGTCTAGTACCCCTCTCAGTCCTGCAAACTCTGTATCATCCAAAATATTCACAAAACGTCCATTTTGCCGAAAATAATGTTGTATAGATATAATTAATTCATACAGTGTGTTTGGTCTGTACTCCTCACCATTCTTATTTCGAACTTCAGCTACAAAATAAGTCAGAGCCTCATTAATATCGGAGACAGGTAAATCCAGTAAGTTGTTAGGAAAGTTTTTCAGCTTTTCATTGTTTTTGGATTGTATCAGTCGCTGTTCAATCCATGAATCAAAAACTTTTAAAGCCCATTTCGTTTTGTTTTCTGTGTTTACACATGATTCTCCAGCAACAATTTTTTTCAAATCACCATCCTGCATGGGAATTGCAAATCGTCGCCGTGTTTCAACTTCTTCAACAACTTGAGTTATTTCTGTCATTTCATCTTCCGAGATGTCTGAGAACATCTCACTTAAAATGTTGAAATTTGGCCGAGGTGTAATATTTTCCTTCTGTAAATCCAGGACATCACTTAATATCTCATCTGTATCTACAACAGTATTTTCTGTTGTAAATGTTGACTGTGTTAAAAATACTCCTTCACTATCGGAACTCATGATTGGAATGAGATAAGTACTATACCTGGGTGTATTTCATACCTGGTATATGCAGTTGCATACAAATCATGCAAAGTGAGATTGATATACATGACTGACCTCAGTATACAGTGTAGTTGAAAAACTGTCCAATATGTTATGAATAGCTTTCACGGTAATTGATTCATAGTGAAACTGTCCAATATTATCACAATGCACCAAAACACTGATCACAATTGATACAATAGGGGACATGTTTTAAGTAAGATATAAGCCTAAAACTGTCTATTATGTAAAATATTGGACAGTCTGAGGCGCTAAACTGTCCAATATTTTACATAATAGACAGTTTTCGGCTTATATCCTTTACATAATGAGTTAATGTATAATGATAGAAATAGAAAATAGAGAAATTCTATGTTTTCAGTGCCAGATGCTGATTTGTACAGGTCATATTTGTTTGCCTTATTTGATCTTTTAATCCTTCAAATTTATGCCTTAATGGGATATTAAACTTAAGTGGAATTTCTTCCAAGGCCTGCAAAATTACTATATACTCCCCTGCTTAGACAAGACATTCTTAGAAAATACCTTTTAAATTTCATATGTAGAGAGTACAAATAGCTTAGTACTTACTGTTCAGTTTATTTGACATGGGATGTGGTTATACAAATATATGTTATAGATACTATTAAAGACTGTTCGGGTTCAGTAAAACCCTTTTGTATTTGTATGTTTGCTGTGTTTTGCTGCAATCATATAATTGTCAAATTATTTATATTACATGTATATGCATAATAATACTTTGTATGTATTTTTTGAGTCTGGTATAGAGGGCTTATGTATAAGCCCTGAACTGGAAATAAACTTATCTTATCTTATTACAGGAAATGGTCAATCAGCCAAATCTTCAACAAATTCGGGGTGAGTAAACTGGTCAGGTTATAATAATATATCAAATAAATTTGTCTTGCAATTAATAGTTTATAATGATTGATAATTTCAAAAACAAGGCTACCTGGTTTAATATATCAACAGAAGGAACAGCATGAGTGCCTTATACATGTATTATCAAACGTCAACCAAACTGATTTGCAAAACAGGTAAGCCATATAAACAATAGAAATGTGGTACATGTAGTACAATTTTTGACAGGCACAGTCTGTTAGAACAATATTAATCACATGTAAAATAGAAAATGATTTACCTGACTTCAGAATGTTTGAAAGTCATCCAAGTTTTCCAGCATGGCCAACACATCATGCTAATTGACTACAGGTCATCGTCAAGGATAATACCCTGGCCGACACATCATGCTAATTGACTATAGGTCATCGTCAAGGATAATACCCTGGCCGACACATCATGCTAATTGACTATAGGTCATCGTCAAGGATAATACCCTGGCCGACACATCATGCTAATTGACTCCAGGTCATCGTCAAGGATAACACCATGGCCGACACATCATGCTAATTGACTCCAGGTCATCGTCAAGGATAATACCATGGCCGACACATCATGCTAAGTGACTACAGGTCATCGGAAAGGATAATACCATGGCCGACACATCATGCTAAGTGACTACAGGTCATCCTCAAGGATAATACCATGGCCGACCCATCATGCTAAGTGACTACAGGCCATCATCAAGGATAATACCATTGCCGACACATCATGCTAAGTGACTACAGGTCATCGTCATGGATAATACCATGGCCGACACATCATTCTAAGTGACTTCAGGTCATCGTCAAGGATAATTCCATGGCCGACACATCATGCTAAGTGACTACAGGTCATCGTCAAGGATAATACCATTGGGCACTTTATTCCAATATTGATATGCAAACAGAAGGAGGAAGTAGAAAAGTATAGAAATTGGGTCAAAGGTCAGGGTTGTATTGCTTAGTTTAAAGGGTTTTGAATTATGAAAACCTCTCATCACAAAAGTGAAAACTTTCAAGGTCCTTAACCAAGATTTTAGAAAGACTGCAATGGTGGAAAGTCAAAATTCAAGGTTGCAAGGCAATCTTTTTGAAATGCATGCATGGAATTTAGTTGTTGGAAGAAAAAAACCAGTGTAATAAAATTGTGCCTTCTTGTATGGAAAGCCGTTATTTGGTACCAGAACTTAAGAGTTCGATCAAGTACAAGGATGGTGTTTATTCAGTTACATACCATATACATATCAGTATACAGAATTCAATTACGTACAATTTACATATCAGTATACTGAATACAATTACATAATCCCGTCACCAAAGCATATGAGTCGAGTCGTACTATGCTATCATGAAAATCCTACTTGAACAATACAGTATAGCTATCATAAACACGAGGAATAATTTATCAATAATGAAATATATGCTCGGGAGCTTAACCGTTAAAAATAAGCCTTACATGTACATTGTTTTCCTGTGAGTTCGAATTCACGACTCACCACAGGTTATGATTAATAGAATCTTTCACCCCTTGGGGGTGAGATAGGAGAATCTCAACCCGAGGGGGAGGATTCTTAAGTTGCCAAACACGAGGCTTTGCCGAGTGTTTGGCAACTAAAGAATCTTTCCCCGAGGGTTGAGATTCCACTATCTCACCCACAAGGGGGTGAATGATTCTTTTTCTCTTACCCTGTTCTTTCATTGTGTATCATATGCACAATGTAATGATAACGTTACATGCTAAATTCAGGGTTGACGTGACGTTGATGGATTGTTGACNCCCCCCCCCCCGTCTCAGCCCTAGGGTGAGACAAGGAAATCTCACACCGGTAAAAATGTGGATACACCTGTCCAGGGTAAGAGAAAGATTTATCTATGTCTTACAAGTTTCTTTAGTTTCCCGTGAGACCGACTTCACGGTTCAACACAGGTTATAACATATAGATTTATCTAGATCTTAAACATAATTACTTTCTTGTGACTCCGCATTACCTGGCTCACACAAGTTATCGAAATATTTTCAAATAATCCTTAAGTTAGTATTTGTAACTTATTTTTCTCCGAGCCCGACTTCATGGTTCACCAAAGGTTATAAATATGAATTTGAAATATATAAATACTACATTAAACTAAATAGAGTGTAATTTCAATACTAAAAAGTTTCTATAAAAAATTCCCTACCTTTCACAAGAGTTGTACCTCGCTTGGTACACTCAGGATCTCTACGAGCTCGACTGATTCAAAACACACTGCAATCCGCATTTATATCGACTAGCGTGTGCCACAATGGTAACGCTAAATAACAAAACATTCTTAAAGTACAATTTTACAATTACATATGTATTTCTTTTATATGGACAAAATCAGTACGAATTACAAAGACTGTTATCTTTAACGTATAATACTATATATAGCTGACGAAATAACCAGGAAGTTACGTCACATATACAACGACATAAACTGTCAATACATTGCAGGAAAGTTTGACGTCCGACTTTGTGAAAGCATATAAAATTACTTTCTTGACGATTATAAAGGTATTGTTGATAGCACATTGACATAAAGATACACTAGTAATCTGTAATACGATTTTAGCAAGCTATATAAAGAATTACTCTCTTTATAAGATAATATAAACAAGTGCAAATTATGTTACTATTATAAAGAATGTCAACAAATCCCAGTTTCACAACACCCAGTAAATAAACATGGATTGTTTGGTTGCTTAACATTACAAAATGACTTTCTTAAAAAGATTGGTTGACAAAAATTCAGAGGCAAATATTTAAGGCCCTGCATCAGAGATTTTGGTGCTCTTTAGTAATCATCTTGTCTGTCTGTCCACACTTGCGTTTCTGGAGTCTGTCTCACAATTGAAAAGTAAAAAAAAATAGAACTGTAACATGGTGATGCACTGTTATTTAAGGATTGAATGTCTATCAGATTACAGTTACAGCCAATATGAATGCAATCTGGGAGACAGATAGATAGAATGACGTCCATTACTGTCCAGTAACTGCAGGCTGACTTTCTATAAAGTTAATGGAAAATGGGAAGGGCATATGTAAATATAATTATGTACAGTGCAATTCAAAAAGTTCCTAAGATACTGTCAATAATACATAGACTGTATTGCCCTCCTGACCAATCTGCAATGGTCACTGGTCATGACCAAAGTCACTGATACTAAAAGTAGAACAGGAGTGATAAAAACTACATTTTATGGCTTTGGTTGAACGGCCGACACATATATGGCTGTAAGGTTTGTTTTAATTGATAACAATTGAGAGAAACAGACAAATAGTGGATAGTGTTCATGATGAAAAAGAAATATTATCATGATCCAATAAAACAAGATGGCCACCATAGTTTCTGATTGTCTGGGACCTATCAGGTTTTAATTTTTGTTCTGCTGTACAGATTTTGTTAACATTTGGTGATAACAGGTATCTGTCAGTTTAAATATCTACAGGGTTATTACCAATATTTCAAAATCCAATGTAATTGCTGTGTCTTTTGCTTCTTGATTATGGGTGATATACAAGTGTATATGGTCAGGCACATGGTAGGGCCCTTGCTGACCTGTCAGTCTTCTAGTTGTTAAAGGTTTTTTTTCAGGTTTTCACAGGAGCAAGGAATGGGAACTTCATTGTAAACCTTATGTCTGGTGAGAGTTCAGATTGATTGAGTGTTGTACACATTGTTTGCCCATAATAGCTTTATTCATTTACATATTTTGTCTAAATATTTTTTTCAGGCTACCATCAGATTTCTTTGACAATAAATCTCAAGATAAAGCAAGTATGCCCACAACGAAACGTGCAGGCCTGGCATCCTACTCATCGTCTTCCTCTGAAGATGAAGCTGAGGTGACACCCAAACTCAGCACTGCCACTGTGTCCAGTGTGCCAGGTCTTCCTGCAGGTAACTACCAGTATATTGGTAACTAGACAGATATCAGGCTGTTCGGCTATTCGCATATTGTGAATGTCAAGCATTACATTGTCTATGACCATATCTATTTGTCTTGCAAACATAATTTCCACTCCAACTTGGTAGTAAATGTTCCAAAATATCTCCTGCAGTATTATCTGATGTACTGTTTCACTTGGCATGACTTTCATTGTTACTCCGCCCTCTCCACGTAGCATGCAGTCACTAGAGATTTGTGCTCGGACAACGGCTTGCATAGCAAATCTATAAAATGTGTGAGAAGTGTAAATCTTAGATCAATTTTTTTAAAAATAAGATTGGTTTTACAGATTTTTTTAATACAAGTACAAGCAGTAAGCAGGAAGAAATAGAAAAACCCAAGACAGAATCAATGGCTGATGTGTTACCAGAGGGATTTTTTGACGACCCAAAGACTGATGCAAAGGTGTTTATTTTATCTTTATATATAAAGTATATGGGAGCAAAAAGCATGGCAATATAGAATTAAGTTTCTGCTATAAGTAATTTAGGTATCCTTACTCAATAAGACATTGTGTAAACAGGTATAAAAGGTATTTGTTTAACATATCATGTTTATATCCCCATGTGGGTATATTCCAAGCATTTTCATTGGTTGAGAACTTTTTATGGATTTGGATTACACCAAAACAATGCATTGCCAAAATAACCAGGGATCAATCTAGGTTTTAGGCATCCTCCATATCCAGGGGTTACACTCACTTTCGCTCTCTACACCCCTGGAATATGTCATGGCAAAATTGAAGGCACGAAGATAGCTGTTTGATTGGTCTCGGGTAAAAAAAAACCTGACCAATCGCTAGGCTGATACCTCTCCTTTGAAGATTACAAAGGAGAGACGCCCCACTTCAAAGCCTGTCAATTTTTACCGTTACATGACTGCGAAATTCTTTTGATGTACATCAAAGGATCAAACTAATCTTGTTGTCTCATCAACAAGGTGGCGCACACCGAGCCTTTAATTTTGCCATGACATATTCCAGGGGTGCAGAGAGCTAAAGTGAGCGTAACTCCTGGATATCGAGGATAGGTTTTAGGGGAATCTACCCTTTTTTAGATTTGGGGGAAATTAAAATTTTGATACAAGGCTCTTGTGTCATGAAGATAAAAGATAAATGTTTTGTCCGACATACATGTGTGCAGTATATATATTTCAATTTATGAATAATTTTAAGCTTAAACAGCTCGTAGAATGCCGAAGGGCCATGTGAACTTATGCCATACTGCGGCGTCCGTCGTTCGTCAACTTTTTCTTTTGAACAACTTCTGAAGAAGAACTGGAGAACCTAGGGTAATGATATTTGGCCAGTAGGTTCCTGGGATGGAGTGCTATAGAGTTTTCTCATTAAAATGACTTGGCCTACTTTCAAAGTCACAGGGGTCAAATATGTTAAAAATTTCAAACAACAATATCCTCATAACCGTTTGGACAAGAGTCATGATACTTTGGTATGTTATGTAGACCAACAGTGCAAATCTTTTTCTCAATCACAGTAATGAGGTCAAAGGTCAACTTTAAGTGGTAGTCAGGGGTCAAAGGTCCATATGTGTTAAAAGCTTTTACAATCTTCTCAAGTTCCATAAGGCCCAGGGTCATGATATTTGGCCAGTAGGTACCTGGGATGGAGAACTATAAAATTTTCTCATTAAAATGACCTTGACTTACATTCAAGGTCACATGGGTCAAATATGTTAAAAACTTTAAACAACAATATCCTAAGAACAATTTGGATTAGAGTCATAATACTTGGGTATATTATGTAGACCAGCTGTGTGAATTGTTTTCTTTATTACAGTAATGAGATCAAAGGTCAACTTTAAGTGCTAGTCGGGGGTCAAATGTCAACATGGGTTAAAAGCTTTAACAATCTTCTTCTCAAGTTCTATAGGGCACAGGGTCATGATATTTGGCCAGTAGGTACCTGGGAGTGCTATAAAGTTTCCTCATTAAAATGATCTTGACCTTATTTCAAGGTCACAGGGGTCAAATATGTTATAAACATATGTTATGTAGACCATCTGTGTGAATTATTTTCTTTATTACAATAATGAGGTCAAGGGTCAAATTTAAGTGCTAGCTGGAGTCAAAGGTCAATGTGGGTTAAAAGCTTTAAAATTTAAATTTCAAACAACAATATCGTCCGTTTAAGAGTTGTTAAAATTAATTGTGTTCTAGTTACCAAATTTGGTCTGAAGTTACCTATCTGCAGTTTCATGTAACAAAAGAAATGAGTGAGCGATAGAGGCTCTCTGGGCCTCTTGTTGTTAATATTATGTGAAGAAAATGCATTTATGCAGTATTATGCATTTAAACTGTTGAACTTTAAAGAAAACATATATAGGGGAAACATTTGGAAGGAAACCAGGGAAATTTTGAAGCACATAGGGGAATTTTCTTCTGTAGAGGAAACTACCCATAAACGGTAGTGAATCAAGTCTAGATTAATCCCTGATTAACGTAGTAGTTATTGCCATGATATCATAGTTCTAGGTGATTTTCCAGATTGGAAACTGGAGTCATGGGTAAATAGGTTTTCTTAGGTAAAATATGAACATTAGGGGAGAGAACAGCTCCTGAACACATGATGACCAGCAATCATTCATGTGTATCTATCTTTCTTAACCTTATTTGAAAATCGAAAACTTTTAAATTGTCTTTTTTGATTTAAATTAACTTAATAACAACCCTCCTAAGTTATATGCTTTGCTACATTTCTTGCTTAACAAATACATAATTTCTTTGCCTCACTGTGTTGCTAATTTATGACAAAGAGATTTACTTTCTGATTCTAGGGATAGTCATTGTAATTTACTTTACTCACTGGTTGTAGGTTAGTATTATTGTAATAATTTATCTGACTCACAGTTTCTGGGTTTGTTCATTAGTAATACTTTACTTACCATGCTTTGTTTCTAGGTCCGTAAAGTCGAGTATAAAGACAAGATGGATGAGGAATGGGAGATGTTTCGGCGGGCCATGAAAGAAGAAAATCATGCAAGTCTTCCTTTAAATGGCTAACAAGAGATTTAATGATGCATTCCTTATGTGAGATGAAGTCTTTGAAGAATTTCATTGAAAGCTTGCAGTCTCATTTGTGTGAAATGTGTGAATTTGTTACGAAAAGTTTCATGAAAAGCTGAAGAATGTCATGGAAAAATCCATCAGTTTTGGTAATAGGGCTGGTAATCCTTAATAATCAATGCATCAGTTTCATTGATTGCCTCTTTGGATGATCATATCAATCTATAATTAATAATAATCATTATTAAAATATCCTTATTAAATGAAAAATGTAAAATTATAAATCTTCTTATCAGGTATCAGAAGCCATTATGGATGAAGAGGATGAACAAGCAAATGTTGACAGAAATATTGATGAAATAGATGACCAAATGTAAGTCGCACAGAATGCATTTTGAAGCTGACAATACATGATAAATAATGCACTACTATCACACATCAAAGTACATTTTGTTCCTGCTAAACTGCTTAAGATTATTTGTGTCAACTATTCATGTATCATAAACACATTCAACTTCAATCATACAGAAATGTAGATTGTAGAATTATCCTAAAAACTAACTAATCCTTACTTGTTATCCTATACACACGTATATAGTTATTAGAACTTTAAATCCAATGATGTTTAAAAATCTGGTAATCGTTTTCAGGAATCGTTGGAATGAAATCAACAAACTCCAAATAAAAAAGGAGGAGATAATGTCGAATCAGGGATCCAAGGATGTGGCATCAAAGTCTGATAGTGATGAGGATGCAGAGGACCAGGAACTTCAGGAGTTTATGGACTGGCGCTCAAAAAAGTCTTGGAAATGAGGAATTTGAATTACAAATCTCAATAACAAATTACGTTAGTATTAATGGTTGAATACATTGTTAAGTGCTATAAACCATAATACTGGGCCAAGGAAATGGCAAGATATCAACCATGATCACAGGATGTCATGGTTACAACTGCTGTCAGTTGATTTAAATCTTGTGATGATGATGGTATTTGGCTATATGCTTTCATGTAAACGTTAGACTATATATCGTGAGACTAAAAGTGCAGTGCTATGCTGCTTCATTCTGATTTCAAGAATTGGTCACTGGAAACGCCTGATAAGATTTCTTGCTTAAATTTACCGATACATTGTCTATTGCACAAATGAACCAAAATCCATATATTAGACCATTCTAATAGAACAGACAGGACAGTTGTTACTGTATTGTCTACTTTTGGGACCAGTATTACAAACCTCAATTCTAGGGAAGAAAATGTAAGAGCGAGTGTCAACAATGATTACAGTAGGACATTATAGCTTACAACAGCTATGATAGGTTGCTCCATCAATCGTGTTTGGATGTATGCATCATTAGGGTACAAGTGCAGTGCTGCTGGATTCTGTTTTCAAGAGTTGGTTGCTTAGAGCTCCTAACAAAGTGTTTTAGTTAAATTTATGACTAAAAATGTTTGAGTGTATGTATGAAAGAGACAAGCGATATGACCAATAATGCATTATCTCGTGGGACAGAAATGATGAGGGTGATATTATTGTCTACTTTTGCCCCACACAGTAGAGAGAAAGAGGATTGTATTTTGTTTAAAAATGTCAACAGGGAGTTGAATATATTATGTTAATGAATATTGGCTTCAGAAACAGTCCAATAAAAATTATTAAAGAAACTGTTAACTATCCTTTTTTATTAAGTCGTCTCCCCAAGGGGCACGTGTGGTTATGCCATGATATGGTGTCTGTCATCAACATTTTAGCCCACAATATTTAGATGGTGGACTATTCAAATCACCCTTCGTCTGTGGTACATCTGTCCTTAAGCAATTCTTGTAAGCGCTATTTCTCAGAAAGTACTGGAGGGAACTTTCTCAAAGGTGGGGTCAACATTTGGCCCCCACTTTGATTTCTTTTATTCTATTGCCATATGCAGATACATAAAAATGATCAATAACTCCATAAATGATTATTCATTATTACTACTGATAATCGTAGTGGACCTCCTTGCATAACACACGGTTGAATGACAGGGGTATCCTAACAAAATGACAGATAAATGTCACAGGTAAATGTTATTTTGAAAATGAATTATGATGGTGTATAGTGTATAAAATTACTGTTATTTTGATACTAAATATGTCATATTGGTATACATGAAGTAAGCGTAGTGATACTTTTAATTAGAAAAAACATGCAAAATGTTCACAAAATTCAAAATATAACCAACATTGTCAACTTGCCTATATATATAGTTACAATGGTAGTCTATATTCTAAACTTTTTAAAAAACTTTCCATATATATATTCTGTCTACAGAATCATTTTTATGTAATATCAAAACCGATAAAGTACTTTTTAGCTCACCTGGTCCGAAGGGCCAAGGTGAGCTTATGCCATACCCTGGCGTCCGTCGTCTGTCCGTCGGTCCGTCCGTCAACAATTTCTTTAAACGACTTCTTCTTCTTAACCCCTGATTGGAATTTAACTAAATTTGACTGGAAGCATCCCTAGGTGGTGGGAATTCAAAATCGTACAAATGGTGGGGCTGACCCCCCAGGGGGCTGAGGGGCAGGGCTAAAAGGGGGGCATTTTGGCTTTATTGTTTTAAGCGATTTCTCTTCTTGAACTAAGAGATGGATATCAACCATATTTGACAGGAAGCATCCCTTGGTAGTGGAGATTCAAAATTGTACAAATGGTTGGGCTCGCCCCCAAGAGGGCTGAGGGGAGGGTCCAAAAGGGGGCAATTTGGCTATATTGCTATTAACGACTTCTTCCCCCCCCCNAGACATAGTCCCTGGGTCATAACTTTGAAACGGTTGAGATCCCCACCCCAGAACTATATATACAAATGCTTGGCATAAAGAGACAAAAGTAGTCATGGTATTAGAATAGACCCTGGGGTCTGACCGAACCCCTAGGGACCTAATTTCTTAGTCACAGCGTGGAAACAGTTGAGATCCCCACCCTATAACCATACATATATGCAATTGCTGAGTATAAAGAGATGAATGCACATATGCTTCCAGGATGGCCTTTGGGTCTGCCCCACCCTTGCAGACTTAACCCCTGGGTCATAACTTTGAAACGGTTGAGATCCCCACCCCAAGACTATAAATACAAATGCTGGACAAAAAGAGACGAATGCAGTCATGATATTAGAATCGATCCTGGGGTCTGGCCACAACCCTAGGGATCTAGTTTCTGAGTCACAGCTTGGAAATAGTTGAGATCCCAACCCCATAACCATACATTAAATTGCTGTGCATGAAAAATCTAATAGACACAGCTATCTAATAGACATACTACAAGAATTGGCATTGGGGTCTGGCATATTCCCTTGATCTCATTTGGAGAATATTTTGCCATGATTGCTTAGATATCCAAGTGAGCATTTCAGGCCCTCTGGGCATGTTGTAAAATAAATTCTGAAACCAACTGTTTCTGATTTAAGCTTTCTATACACATACCTTTTCGGAATTATCTTGCTTTGAAATTCCAGGCGGGGACCTCGCTAATGTTAAATCTCCATAGGCGTTGACCCTACCTTTCACATGACGGTTTCACCATGGTCCATTTTTAGCTCACCTGCCCAAAGGGCAAGTGAGCTTATGCCATGGCTCAGCGTCTGGCGTCCGGCGTCGGCAACTTTTCTTTTAAAACGCTACTTGTCCTGAGTGGCCCAGTAGATTTTGACCAAATATTGTCAGAAGCATCTTTGGGAGAAGGGGAACATATATATTTTGTATAAATGGTGGGTGTGGCGCCCAATAGGGGAAATATAGCAAATTCTTTAAAATCCTTCTTCTGTAGGAATGAAAGGATTTGTTCCATATTTGGTTAGAAGCATCTTTGGGGGAAGAGAAACCATTTTTGTATAAACCGTGGGTCTGGTCCCCCAGGGGCCTGAGGGGAGAGGCCCAATAGGGGAAACATAGCAAATTATTCTTTAAAATCCTTCTTCTTCTGTAGGAATGAAAAGATTTGGTCCATATTTGGTGCGAGTCATCCTTCGGTAAAGGGGAACCAATTTTGTATAAACGATGGGTGTGGCCCCCCTGGGGGCTGAAGGGCGGGGCCCAATAGGGGAAATATAGCAAATTCCTTTAAAATCCTTGTTCTTCTGTAGGAATGAAAGGTCTGAAGCATCCTTGGGTGAAGAGAAACCAATTTTGTATAAATCGTAGGTCTGGCCCCCCAGGGTCCTTAAGGGCGGGCCCAATAGGGGAAACATAGCAAATTATTCTTTAAAATCATTCTTATTCTGTCGGAATGAAAGGATTTGGTCCATATTTTTTGTGGAGTATCCTTGGGTAAAGGGGAACAAATTTTGTATAAATGGTGGGTGCGGCCCCCCTGGGACCTGAGGGGCGGGCCCATTAGGGGAAATAGAGGGAAAACTTTCTTGAACGGCCCTGTAGATTTTGACCAAATTTGGTCAGAAGCATCTTTGGGGGAAGGGGAACATATTTTGTATAAATGGTGGGTGTGGCCCCCCGGGGGAAATATAGCAAATTCTTTAAAATCCTTCTCCTTCTGAAGCATCTTTGGGGAAAGAGAAACCATTTTTGTATAAACCCTGGGTCTGCCCCCCCCCCCCCCCCCCCCC